AGAATATTCTGTGATGAATATACAGAATCGTAAATTGTTAGCATTTAAGAGTTGATTACATTAAACCAAGGTATATTTGAACTGAGTGACTGGAGAACAATGAGACTGTGTGACATGACCTCTTGTGTGCTATTTCTCCAGACCAAGAACTTGATTGAGATCCGACAGATTAACCAGAAGTTGAGCCACATGGAGGCATCTGCCGGGAGACTTGACCAACTGACCAGAGACCTGAAGGGAGCGGTAAGTGTAGAATGTTGTTGAAGGGAGCGGTCAGTGTAGAATGTTGTTGAAGGGAGCGGTAAGTGTAGAATGTTGTTGAAGGGAGCGGTAAGTGTAGAATGTTGTTGAAGGGAGCGGTCAGTGTAGAATGTTGTTGAAGGGAGTGGTAAGTGTAGAATGTTGTTGAAAGGAGCGGTAAGTGTAGAATGTTGTTGAAAGGGAGCGGTAAGTGTAGAATGTTGTTGAAGGGAGCGGTAAGTGTAGAATGTTGGTGAAGGGAGCGGTCAGTGTAGAATGTTGTTGAAGGGAGCGGTCAGTGTAGAATGTTGTTGAAGGGGGCGGTAAGTGTAGAATGTTGTTGAAGGGAGCGGTCAGTGTGTAATGTTGTTGAAGGGAGCGGTAAGTGTAGAATGTTGTTGAAGTTCACTAGTTGTGTTAGTTAGTGGTCCAAGTACACTAAGCTATTCAATGCAGAGCTGTCAACCCCTAAAGATGTTTTGGAGTGAGACTGAAAAAAATAAGCCGGGGTCATGTTGAGAGCGACGCCCTGGTGGGGGGTCTATTGGGGGCAAAGCCCCCTGCCCCCGAAAGTGAAGTTAAGTGATTTTCAGGAGCATTTGGAGCCTTCTGGTGGCATTATTTTGACACTAAAAGATGCATGCTAATAAATAATAATAGGCCCGAATCATTCGCATAAACATTGTTTTAGTACTTCGTTCATTCAGGCGCTCTTTCAATGTTCAACGAACGAAAATGCCTATTAATTTTGAAATTATTTTTGGCTACCAAATATGCTTGAGATTATTATTTGGAGGCATGAGAGCGTGACATTTGTCAATAAAGCGTGAGACTCATGCCAAATGCGTGAGAGTTGACAAGTATGTCAAGGTCATTTGTTGGTATGCTCACTTACACCAGCAGAGGTACAGGTAAGCTGCGTATCTGCGTAAATTACGCAAATATTTCTATTGCCTGCAAGTACACTTGAATTTTTGTAAATACTCAATAAATTTGATTTTACATGCGTACACACAAAAAATGTCAAATCTTAGCTTGTGTACCAGTGGATAAATAAAGTTGAGGTATATTGAGAGGTTCTATTTCAGCACATGAACTTGGCAACTTGCAGTCTTTCTTATCGTTTCTCATTTTACAGATCATTGTAAATAGCAAATGTGTAAACCAACATTAAATTGTGTTATATTAAAATTTACAAATAATGGCAAATTACCCAATTGAGTTTGAGTAAGGTGGGTACAGTTTGTTTGGTTACTCAAGAGAATATTAGGATACCCAACTGAGATGAACACAAGCGAGTACATAACTCAATGACCCAAAAAGTTATCTGTAGCTCTGCACCAGCGGTTAATTCAGCCCACACATAGACTGAGATGATATCGGTATATAAAACTGGGCACCAGACAATAGGACAGAATTCCTCATAAAGTATTACAATTATTTGATTCCTTTCCGACTGCCTCAGTGGTGTAGTGGTTAGAGCATCCGCCCGGAGAGCGGAAGGTTGCAGGTTCGATCTCCGACCGCGTCATAACAAAAGAAGTTAAAATATGGTACTTGTTGGTCCCTGCCTGGCGCTCAGCATTAATGGGTACATCAAGGACTGGTCGGCTCGGAGTCAGTATAATGTGTCTGAGTGGGGCATCCATGCTTCACTGCGGCATGGTATCTCAGTGGACTAGAACTATAAAACCAGCTTAAGTCTGGGCTAGTAAAAGCAGCCACACATACACACACACACGCATGCACGTCGTCATATGTGCCAAATATTCTCAAACACAACTTTAAATCCAATTTCGTCTCACCTCACCTGATTCCTTTCCATAAGTGGGTGATATGTGTGAATCTAAACTATTAACATTGCCAGGGAAGTTCAGTGTCTACATCAATATGTGTTTGATGACTTCAGCAGTATTCAAGTTACCTTATTTGTTCAATCTTTCACTTTAAACCTGTGGAGATTCAAGGTCAGAATATGTCCCCAGTAAACCTGCAGCCCAAGCTTGGAATAAGATCCTTCTTGTGTGCCCAGCTGGAACTCCGGGTAAGAGCTGGGTGCCGTTCCACTAACCAATCTTAGCCCCACGCCAATTGTAAACCCATAAAATACCAATCTTAGCGTGACGTTACGATTGGCATACCGTTCCACTAACCAATCTTAGCCAAGTCAATCGTAAAGTTAAGATCCAAAGTCTAAGTTTCTCATGACCAACTTAGGATCGCTAAAATCAATCGAAGAGAAACCAAAATGGTGGCTTTCATATTCTATGTGAAGAAGAAGAGCGAGCATTTCACCGTGAATGCCCCCTAAAACCCCCATGAAATGAATTTGTTTATTTCTGTGATGTCAACAAACACTGCACTGAAGCCTTACAAATGTGAGGCCAGGCTGTCCACTGTCGTCATGGGAACACAGCCGAGCAAGTCAGTGTAATACATTTGTACAACAATATTGTAACGTAATGGTTAAGAATAGGGACGGGTGATGAAGTGAACAATGTTCTGAAACAAAAAGATACAAATATGTTTGATTTCACTGCACATATTTGGTGGGGGATTCTAAAGGCAGGCCGCATGCTTTTCATGTTAATTCTGATCGACAAGGTTCAGCCACATATTATGCCTGATACCCAGCGTTCACAAGCTCTTGCCACTGAAACCAAGGTGCTCACTACCCTAATATTTTTCTCGAGGTGTTTTTCTCCACATTTTCACTTGATTCCAAAACTACTTCCATCGTCTGCTAGACTATGGAAAAGAGATATCTCGTGCTGCTCATTTCTTTATCTATCGCACGAAAGAGTCTCAATCTAAGCTTGGATTGGATCGTAAGATCGGGACCGGCTACGATCGGCGTAAGATCGGTTAGTGGAACGGGTGTAACTTTTAGATAAGACGATTGTAAAATTGGCGTAACTTGCTAAGATTGATCTTAGATAAGATCGGTTAGTGGAACGGCACCCTGGTCCCCAGTAGCCCATGCTTAGTGTAAGATCAGCAGCCACTAGGGGTGAAACGATACGCTCTTACCACAGTACGGTCGTATTGTGGTACAAGGCCTTCGGTTCAGTATATGATATGTAAACATGAGGCAGAAAATTGACAAGAACCAAACCTTACACTGTTTGATAACATGGAAAACACTAACCACAATCTTTAATATTTTATATGAACATAACTGTCACCGTTTCACCCCTAGCAGCCATTGGGTAGAAGGTGAGGTGAAATTGGGTTTAACGTCGTGCTTGAGAATATTTTGCACATATGATGATGTGCATGCGTGTGTATGTGTATGTGTGACTGCTTGTACTAGCCCAGACTGAAGCTGGTTTTATAGTGCTAGCCCACTGAGATACCATGCCGCAGTGAAGCATGAATTCCCCACTCAGACACATTATACTGATTCCGAGCTGACCAGTCCTTGTTGTATCCATTAATGCCGAGCGCCAGGCAGGGACCAACAACTACCATATTTTAACGTCTTTTGGTATGACCGGGTCGGGGATCGAACCCGCGCGACCTTCCGCTCTCTGGGCGGACACTCTAACCACTACTCCACGGAGGTGCACAGGCTCAGACTATACCAGGGATTGTATCTTATCATGACGTATTGGTGGATTCACTCACTCCTGAGTACGACCTGTTTGCAGGAGCTGGACCTGAGCAGCACAGAAGGGACGGTCAACTTGGAGGATCTGAAGAGGGAGATAACTCTCCTCGACAAAGACAGACGGCAGCTGGACACAACTCTCAGTGATCTGAAGTAGGATTTCATGGTCTTGTTTCACATGTATCATAATTGTAACAAAGTCAAATGTGATGGGTTTCTGTTATTCGACTATAACATTGCTCCACTATATATTTTGTCTGCATGTTGTCAATAAATACATGTTTGTCTTGCATAGGCTATATACCAAATGTGGTTTTAATCTGAAAGTTTGATTGTTGTCAGCCCAAAACCAAAACATTTGTTACTAGTCAACACTGAACCATATTTGGGTTGCTAGTTGTTTATAGTTGAAATTGACCCATGAAGATCTGGGTATAATAGGTCTTCAGCAACCCATGCTTGCCCCAAATGGCAACAAAAGGCGACTGTGCTTGTCGTAAGAGGCGACTAACGGGATCGAATGATCAGGCCCGCTGACTTGGTTGACACGTGTCATCGGTTCCCAATTGCGCAGATCGATGCTCATGCTGTTGATCACTGGATGATCTGGTCCATACTCGATTATTTACAGACCACCGCCATAAAGCTGGAATATTGCGGAGTGGGGTGTGAAACTAAATTCACTCACTCACTCACTCACTCACTCACTCACTCACTCACTCACTCACTCACTCACTCAATCACTCAATCACTCACTCACTCACTCACTCACTCACTCACTCACTCACTCAATCACTCACTCAATCACTACAGTTGAAATTAAGACCATGCAAATAAACGCTATGTGTGAAAGATGTAAAGTCAAGACCATGCAAATAAACGCTATGTGTGAAAGATGTAAAGTCGTGATGTTTGTTTCTGGTGTGCAGCTCAGAGATAAATCGCCTGACCCGAGAGCTGGAGACCCAGACTCAGCTTGATGGGATGAAGAAGGATAAGACTTCTAAAGAGGACCTCATCCGCCGACTGTGAGTTCTCTAGCTGACGCAGTATCCTGTAGGCTGCAATAGTCAATGGTGCAGTAATCAGTCAGCACACAAGTAATCAGTGTTGCAGTAATTGTCCTGAGTGGCTGCAGCAGTAATCAGTGTTGCAGTAATTGTCCTGAGAGGCTTCAGCAGTAATCAGTGTTGCAGTAATTGTCCTGATTGGCTGCAGCAGTAATCAATGTTGCAGTAATTGTCCTGAGTGGCTGCAGCAGTGATCAGTGTTGCAGTAATTGTCCCGAGTGGCTGCAGCAGTAATCAGTGTTGCAGTAATTGTCCTGAGACGCTGCAGCAGTAATCAGTGTTGCAGTAATTGTCCTGAGAGGCTGCCAAAGTAATCAGTGTTGCAGTAATTGTCCTGAGTAGCTTCAGCAGTAATCAGTGTTGCAGTTATTGTCCTGAGTGGCTGCAGCAGTAATCAGTGTTGCAGTAATTGTCCTTAGTGGCTGCAGCAGTAATCAGTGTTGCAGTAATTGTCCTGAGAGGCTTCAGCAGTAATCAGTGTTGCAGTAATTGTCCTGAGTGGCTGCAGCAGTAATCAGTGTTGCAGTAATTGTCCTGAGAGGCTGCCAAAGTAATCAATGTTGCAGTAATTGTCCTGAGTAGCTGCAGCAGTAATCAGTGTTGCAGTAATTGTCCTGAGTGGCTGCAGCAGTAATCAGTGTTGCAGTAATTGTCCTGAGAGGCTGCCAAAGTAATCATAGTTACAGTAGTTGTCCTGAGAGGCTGCCAAAGTAATCAGTGTTGCAGTAGTTGTCCTGAGAGGCTGCCAAAGTGATCCGTGTTGCAGTAATTGTCCTGAGAGGCTGCCAAAGTAATCAGTGTTGCAGTAATTGTCCTGAGAGGCTGCCAAAGTAATCAGTGTTGCAGTAGTTGTCCTGAGAGGCTGCCAAAGTGATCCGTGTTGCAGTAATTGTCCTGAGAGGCTGCAGCAGGCATCAATGTTGCAGTAGTTGTCCTGAGAGGCTGCCAAAGTGATCCGTGTTGCAGTAATTGTCCTGAGAGGCTGCAGCAGGCATCAATGTTGCAGTAGTAGTGGGTTGTTCACCCTGTTTGTGATCCATGGTAGGTCAGCAGTACACCTGTACTCATGGATATCATCAAGTAGCAATCATCCACCTGGACCAATGCGGGACATCCTGACACACAGACCAATCTCAATCATTTGATGCACACATTATTGGTGCAGTCTCTCTTGACTAAGCCATGAAGATCCGGGTTAGAATTGATCTTCAGTATCCCATGCTTGTCTGAAGAGGCGACTAACGGGATCTGTTGGTCAGACTCGATGACTTGGTTGACACATGTCATCGTATACCCATTTGCGTAGATCGATGCTGTTGCTGTTGATCACTGCATTGTCTGGTCCAGACTCGATTAATTACAGACTGCTGCCTGGAATATTGCTGAGGGCAGTGTAAAACAAAAAAAACAATCAAACCCCAACTGTCCTGACCAGGTACATTATTTGACAATGTTAATATCAAGATCATTTGACCACATAAATACCCAACTCAATTCTTACAGAAAATGTATTTAGATACATTGGTGTAGTTCTCAGCAAATCTACATCTATCTGTTGATTAGAAGTAAGTTTCACTAGAGCTACAGAACATTTGTACTCATTGTGAACTGATGTAAAGTCGCCCCATTTGTTGTCTCCAGGAAAGCAAAACACGAGGACGGCCTGACCTACCTCCTGGGACTCATGCCGACAACCAACATCCGGGGACAACTTGAGGACTTTATAGGGTCAGCACTACCGTACTCACCTCTTAGACTGAACATGTCTCTCCATGACAGTTTTAGAATGTGCCTTCTTTGCAAATAAATACTTTTCTGTGAAAAAAAATCCATCGTACTTTATACATCTGGCCCATTGCACATGCAAAGATATTGTCCACCATGGTGTTCTGTGTGTTAAACACTTGTAGGAATATACTATTGAAGCCAACCGGACATGCAAAGATATTGTCCACCATGGTGTTCTATGTCTTAAACAGTTGTAGGAATATACTATTGAAGAAAACCGCACATACAAAGATATTGTCCTCCGTGGTGTTCTATGTGTTAAACACTTGTAGGAATATACTATTGAAGCCAACCGGACATGCAAAGATATTGTCCACCATGGTGTTCTATGTCTTAAACAGTTGTAGGAATATACTATTGAAGAAAACCGCACATACAAAGATATTGTCCACCATGGTGTTCTATGCGTTAAACAGTTGTAGGAATATACTCTAGAAGTAAGCAGCACACATAGCATATTGTTTGGCTGCCATGTTCTGTTTATCTGCAGACAGCAGACGGAGCAAGTGAAGCAGTGTTCTGCTGAGCTCCAGAAGGCCAGGACTGACCTCTCCTCCAAGGAGGCCGAAAAGAACATGCTGGGGTAAGTATAGCTGCTTCAGTGCTACTGACAGTCGGAGCAACCTGGTTATTTCTAACTGATGGACAAACAAGTGACCGGATGTTTCTGTCTTGTCTCAATTCATTGACAAGGTTATTGCTGATAACTGTAATATCAGTGATGTGATGTAAGATGTGGCAATGTAATATAAATGATGGTGTTTGTAATCATGTAATTAGTAATGCCGAATGTTTAAGCATTGCTTACAATAAATACGTTGTTCTCTTCTTTGTAGAAATCAGATCAAGGATGCTGAAAAAAAGCTGACAGGTAAAATCAGAAATAAGACTCAAAAACTGTGTTGGTAGGTAGGTAGATAAGATTTTAGGGCGACTTTGGGCCTTAAAAGGCCTATATGCGCCCAACTCTTAACAAACTGTTATATTTTTGTTCAGTTAAATTACGTCATACTTACCCGTTTTAAGGATGAAGTCTAAAACAGCTCTTTGTATGCAACCATACATTAAATTATCACCAAGTATTGCGTTCTTTGTAAATTTATTTTGGGTTTTGTTAAACACAGTTTCTTTAAGAGCCTTAAGTGGGTTTTCATGAGCTGGACAGTCAATGAGGTAGTGCTGAACTGTTTCTGGGCAGTGTAAGTTATAACTTTCACACAGAGGAGATAGGTCCCTGGGTTGTTGTAGAGTGAAGCAGAGTTATGTCCCTTGGGCATGACTAATAGGGCTGGGACGATTCACCCAGACCTCGATTCGATTAGATTTTAGATATTGGACCCTTGATTCCATCATATTTGATTCGATTCTTCATACAAGTAAAAAGATCAGATTCATTTAACTCTCAGAGTCAGCTTTTCCACTGTCTATTTGGCGATGTCTACTAACAACAATCGTATTTTTAAAACTAGCCCCGGCGTCAACCAAACACGTTTCGTCTTAATTTCAGCGCTCAAAACTGCTCGAGTTGGAGTCAAGATTATGTTCTGGCTGTGTGGAAATAATTTAAATTGGTAGTCAAATATCGAATCGAAATAGTGATAATGGTTTCGAAAATCAAAAATAAGGTGTCAGATTCAATTTTCTATAAATCGAACTGAATCGTTGCAGCCCTAATGACAAACCCATTATCATTAGTTGATATTTGCTGCATGTTGACCACTGAATGTTGTTCTTTCCCCAGGACTTGAAGAGAGGATATTTGATGTGTGTGGCAGCCAGGACTTCGACGATGGACTCAGGTCCGTGCAGACCAAGATGGCTCAGACGCAGGAGTGAGTTTCTGGATAGTGATATCAGGGTGGCGTGAACATGTGAAACTTTATGGTGCTCATGGTGTCAATCACTGGATTGTCTGCCATCATAATGCTGGAATATTGTTGAGTGCTGTGTGAAACAATATGGGGTGAAAAGTAGTAATGTATTGTATTCATTGTTGTTGTTTTTTATCTGACCCAATGTTTTTAGAAATCAGTGCCTTGAATAGTTACCACTTATATTGTACTAGTGGTGTTCTTAGATTTTGATTTTAAATATGTTGATTTCCTTTTGTCATCATGATTCAGTGTCCCTCCTCCATAGAATATTTGGAATAGAGAGAATAATCATGAGATAACCGTTATTTCTCTGAATACAGGAAATTGCATTTTTTTCATTTGCAGTAAACGTGGTTCACTTCGCGGCGCAGAACATTTCTTCAAGAAGTATCAGGAAGATCTGGAGAAAGACAGTCCCTGTTGTCCCCTGTGTCACCGAGAGTTTTCCACTGATCAGGAGGTCCGGGAACTGATCCTAGAGGTGCGTACGTCTGAAGTGCAGGAGAGTTGCCACTGATCAGGAGGTCCAGGAACTGATCCTAGAGGTGCGTTCATCTCAAAGAGTAGGAGAGTTGCCACTGATCAGGAGGTCCGGGAACTGATCCTATTGGTGCGTACATCTCAAAGAGTAGGAGAGTTGCCACTGATCAGGAGGTCCGGGGACTGATCCTAGAGGTGCATTCATCTCAAAGAGTAGGAGAGTTGCCACTGATCAGGAGGTCCAGGAACTGATCCTAGAGGTGCGATTCATCTCAAAGAGTAGGAGAGTTGCCACTGATCAGGAGGTCCAGGAACTGATCCTAGAGGTGCGTTCATCTCAAAGAGTAGGAGAGTTGCCACTGATCAGGAGGTCAGGAACTGATCCTAGGAGTGCATTTCATCTCAAAGAGTAGGAGAGTTGCCACTGATCAGGAGGTCCGGGGAACTGATCCTAGAGGTGCATTCATCTCAAAGAGTAGGAGAGTTGCCACTGATCAGGAGGTCCAGGAACTGATCCTAGAGTGCGTTCATCTCCAAAGAGTAGGAGAGTGCCACTGATCAGGAGGTCCAGGAACTGATCCTAGAGGTGCGTTCATCTCAAAGAGTAGGAGAGTTGCCACTGATCAGGAGGTCCAGGAACTGATCCTAGAGGTGCGTTCATCTCAAAGAGTAGGAGAGTTGCCACTGATCAGGAGGTCCAGGAACTGATCCTAGAGGTGCGTGATTCATCTCAAAGAGTAGGAGAGTTGCCACTGATCAGGAGGTCCAGGAACTGATCCTAGAGGTGCGTTCATCTCAAAGAGTAGGAGAGTTGCCACTGATCAGGAGGTCCAGGAACTGATCCCAGAGGTGCGTTCATCTCAAAGAGTAGCGGGGTGGTGGGGTAGCCTAGTGGTTAAAGCGTTGGCTCGTCACGCCGAAGGCCCGGGTTCGATTCCCTACATGGGCACAATGTGTTAAGCCCATTTCTGGTGTCCCCCGCCGTGATATTGCTGGAATATTGCTAAAAGCGGCGTAAAACTAAACTCAGTCAGTCAAAGAGTAGGAGAGTTGCCACTGATCAGGAGGTCCGGGGACTGATCCTAGAGGTGCGTTCATCTCAAAGAGTAGGAGAGTTGCCACTGATCAGGAGGTCCAGGAACTGATCCTAGAGGTGCGTTCATCTCAAAGAGTAGGAGAGTTGCCACTGATCAGGAGGTCCAGGAACTGATCCTAGAGGTGCGTTCATCTCAAAGAGTAGGAGAGTTGCCACTGATCAGGAGGTCCGGGAACTGATCCTAGAGGTGCGTTCATCTCAAAGAGTAGGAGAGTTGCCACTGATCAGGAGGTCCAGGAACTGATCCCAGAGGTGCGTTCATCTCAAAGAGTAGCGGGGTGGTGGGGTAGCCTAGTGGTTAAAGCGTTGGCTCGTCACGCCGAAGGCCCGGGTTCGATTCCCTACATGGGCACAATGTGTTAAGCCCATTTCTGGTGTCCCCCGCCGTGATATTGCTGGAATATTGCTAAAAGCGGCGTAAAACTAAACTCAGTCAGTCAAAGAGTAGCAGAGTTGCCACTGATCAGGAGGTCCGGGAACTGATCCTAGAGGTGCGTTCATCTCAAAGAGTAGGAGAGTTGCCACTGATCGGGAGGTCCGGGAACTGATCCTAGAGATGGATTCATCGCCATAGAGTAGGAGAGTTGCCACTGATCAGGAGGTCGAGAACTGATCCTAGAGGTCGTTCATCTCAAGTAGGAGAGTTGCCACTGATCGGGAGGTCCGGGAACTGATCCTAGAGATGCGTTCATCGCAAAGAGTAGGAGAGTTGCCACTGATCAGGAGGTCCGGGAACTGATCCTAGAGGTGCGTTCATCTCAAAGAGTAGGAGAGTTGCCACTGATCAGGAGGTCCAGGAACTGATCCTAGAGGTGCGTACATCTCAACTGTATTAGAGTTGCCACTGATCAGGAGGTCCGGGAACTGAAATTTAAACTTTCAACTTAGAAATGTTGTACTTATGATCCCTGTTTCCCCTTGCAGCTCCAAGACAAGCTCCGGCTTGTGCCAACCCACCTGAGGAAGGCAGAGAAAGACCTGGATGACTTCCAGCACAAGTACGACAACATGACGCAACTCAAGCCTCTCAGGGAAAACGTTAGTAGTGTTCTTGTTGCTATTTTGGTTTACCTTACAGCTTGAAGTATATTTAAGTTAACTGAATCTTGATTGATTCTGCACATAAGCCATTATTACAAAAAATATTGATCCATACAGAATATTTGGTAGGTACAGTGCAGTGTTGAACTATATTTACTCTGTTTATAGTCCAGAGGTCACAGGTCTGAGGCACTGCAATTAACTGTGCAGAGTTATTTCCCTTGTCTCTGACCTGCATCACTTCATGCTTTTCTCCCACCCTGTGATATAACTATAATACTGTTCAAACCAGCATAGAACCCAACTCACTCACTCACTCACTCACTCTCACACCCTTATATGATTTGGTAACAAGCTTAAACACTTTAAGTGCATTTTGTTTGATTGTTATTTTATGAGAAGAAGAAACAAACAAAATCAATGATGCAATATAATTGTTGATAGTATTACTGGAAGTCTTACTATCCTAGGAAAGAAGCTGTGGCTGATTGTGTTATCTCCCCTTGACGTGTTCTCGGTTCTCTCTCAGTTACCCTTTAGTTTCTTCTTTGATTGGTATTTAGAAGTTGGTGTGTTGAACAATAGGAGATTCTTTTTCAGAGAGATCGTCCTTGGGGTACATATTATGCATTTTCCGGCTGAAAAATGTCCTGTGACAGTTGTATCAATGTTTTTTTAATAAAAAGATTGTACAATAAATAAACTCTTTTATTTATTATACGGACCCTACCTCACGGAGTTACCTCCCTTAGAGCATGCGCACCAACTGGGTAGGCTCCTAGACCCGTATCATCATTCCTTCTGCTGTCACGGCCGTGAACAGACGTGTTTGAATAACCCATTCATGAGCGTGCGGTGGCTGATAATAGATACTATGTCTGAGACACCACCTGTATGTTTGGTCTTTATTTGTCTAAAACAAGAACAGTAAAAGCTTTACAGTTGGTTGTTTCATAATTGTGACTTTGTATTAATTCTATCTGCGAACTTTCCGTGGTTTACGCAAGTATTGCTCTGCCATGGCGGAAGTTTAGCGTGCCGCGATGGTATAAGTAATATTGCGTTTTAAAACCAACTATTACTTTCCGTGGTAACCTTCACGTAGTTTTCAATGTTTTCTCACGTGTTTATATGCTGCTGGCCACCGTTAACTAACATGTTTGCGTGTTTGTTTCAGGCCTTTTCATGCTGTTCGGTCTGTGGGGGGAGTATCCCCCGGGCCGACAGTCATACAAACTGCGTGGCCTGTCTGGAGAAGACAGGCCATGAGGCTGACTCCTGCACTATTTGTCTGGCCTTTTCCCCGGGCCCAGAAGAAGGCGGGCTGCCGACACCTTGTTCTATCGCGAAATCGTGCGGCGGGGAGGGACCTGGCGCAGGTTCCCCGTCTAAGTCCAAGCGTGTGTCAAAAAGGAAAAAATCCCGTGGCCCTTCCCCTCTCCTGCCACTTCGGTGGTTTTGACATGTCACTGATGGAGTCTATGTTTCAGCAGCAGATGGACTCAATGAAGTCGCCCTTCCATTGTGAGTCGGTTGGAGGTCTCCGGCGGGAGTTCCTCACCACTCGGACAGGGGCGGAGAGAGTCGGGGTGGGATCGCCCGGGCTAGGCTCGATCCCTCAGCCTTGGCGTCTGTAGATCCGTTGCCTCTGGCCGGATCCGGGCGCCCTCGGCTGCTCGAGAGGGAGGTGCTCCCAGTCCCCTCTCGGAGCTTCGTAGCGAAGCCGTTGAGTATTCCTGGTATTCCGGTCCTTGCACACACCCGCCCCATGAGAGCGGAGGCACCAGTTCTGCCTGGCCTGCCTCCAGCGTCTCGGACGGGGTCCACGCCACGCCCGGCTGGCGCTGGCGATGGAGCAGTCTGTCTGTTCTTCCCTTCCTGTGGTTCCTAAGCTAGGCAGTCCACGGGTGGGGTTAGGGTCCTCTTACGGAGGAGATCCAGCCTCTGACTTCGGGGCTCGGACGCCGAGGCCATGGAGCTTAGGGGAGGTCGAGGAGCATATGGCGGCTTCCGTTTTGCTGACCTTGCGGGAGGTCGGCAGAGAATTGCCGAGGGCCTACCCCAGGCAGCGGTGCCTGCTGGTTGCGTGGACTTCGACTGAGTTCCGCTTGCCTGGCGTTTGCCCCTAGGCAGCCCTCACAGAGCGCAGCTCCGCATTCTGCCTTCGTTGGTCTTGGGCGTGGTCGATCCCCTCTTGTCTGGTGCCGAGTCAGGTTTGACTTACCTGAACTTCGTCTTGGCTACCAGCTTGGGAGGATTCCTGTTACGTTGTACCAATTGTTGGCGAATGTGTTTTTCACTTCCGTCGCCCTGGGAGGGCTCGGCTTCCTCGGAGCAGCTCCAGCTGCTCGGCAAAGGCGCCTTACTCCACCTTTGCCCTGGCGGGCGGAACGCTGGCGTACCCGGACCTCACGAGGAGGTCTACGGAGCGATGCAGCGGGTGAGCGGTGGTGGTCCATGAGGCCTACCTCTCCTCGATACAGAGGTCGGCCCTGAGGCGGAGGGGCATGCTGGCGGCGTGTGCGCCGCATGTCGTGCTACTCCGTCAGCTTTCGAGGAAGTGTAGGCTCACCTGCAGCGGCAACTGCTGCGGTCTGCTGCGTCGGCGGTGATGATCGCGCCCAGTCATGGGGATCGCCCGGCTGTGGCTGTCGGCGTCTAGGTACTCGGCAGCAACACAGCAGACCTTGCTGGCTCTCCCTTTCCGTCTGGGGGCGACCCTCTTTCCGGGGCCCAGCAGGTCATCACGGGAGGCTGCGCTGCAGCTACCTCCTTCAAGGATTCTAAGGCCTTGTTGGAGCACCAGCGGTGTCTCAGCCCAGCGGCTCCGTGCCACCTTCCTCCGCCGGGGTGCAGCCTACACCGAGTCTGCCCGTCTGGCTTTGGCGGCACGGTAGGGGTAGGCGGAGGAGCATAGGTCGCCAAGGGTAGGGGCAAGGAGCAGTCCTCGACTAGCTCCCAGCCCAGCCCGGTAGCGGGGAGGTCTGCCCGACCTCCCGTTAACCCATCAGGCTGCCGCTCAAGCCGTGTGTCACGCCCAGTCAGCTCCGCTACCGGGTCCACACCGCGCAGCTCCTACCCCCATATCCCAGTGGGAGGCGCCTCTCTCTATTCCTGCGGAATGGGAGAAGGCTACCAACAACAGCAGGTGCTGGCCACGGTCAGCATAGGCCATCTCCCACTGTGGAAGAGGTTCGCCCGACTTCACCGGCATCACGTCGCACTCCGGTGCCGTCATGTCAAGCCAGAGGCGGACATATTAGCGGCGACAGTTCAGGCTCTGCTGGACAAGTCCGCTTGTCGGCGCATTCCACGAGGAGAGGAACAGGCGGGATTTTATTTCCACGTACTTCCTGCGTCCCGAAGAAAGACGGCGGGGTTCCGTCCGATTCTCAACCTCAAGGGGTTGAATGCGCATGCTCGAAGTACCATCCTTCAAGATGGCGACACTGCGCTTTCGGTGATCTCATCTGTTCAGCCCGCCCGATTGGCTCCGTCAATCGACCTAAAGGATCGCGTATCTGCATGTACCCATACATCCCTCGTTCAAGCAGTACCTTCGGTTCTCTTACGACGGGATGTATTATAGTCAGGGTGCTCCCCGCCGGCATATCGACTGCCCCAAAGGGTGTTCACCAAGCTCATGTTAGTCCCAGCTACCTAGCTCGCTTCGCAAGGAAGGCGTTGTTACCCTTACCTAGGCGACTGGTTGCTCGGAGCACTAACACAGCCAGCGAAGTCAAGATGCTACTCACACAGTGATAGACATTCTAACTTCGACTGGGGTGGATCATCAACCTCAAGAAATCCGACCTGGTACCCACCCAGGACTTGGTTTTCTTGGGCCGCGATTCAAGCGAACAAGGATCTCGTTTCCTTGTCGCCCGACCGGTCACCAGAGTTAGGAGATGGTCTCTTCATTCCTCTCCCAGCCCCAGGCACCAGCGCGGACTTGGCTCCGTCTACTGGGCCATATGGGCGGCGATCTCTGTAGTGTGGTGGCGGTTGAGGATCGTCCCATACAGCAAAGCTTTGGCTCGGCTGTGGACTCCCACGGAGGATCTGGGCGCAGTCTCACAGTCCCGAGTGGTTGACACCTCACCTTCAGTGGTGGACAAATGTCGGGAATCTCACCAGGGGTTCCCCTTGGAAATCCGGCGCCAGCTCTCACAGTTCAGACAGATCGTCCCTCACGGGCTGAAGCGTTCTGGGCAGTCTGTCGGCTTCCGGACTCTGGTCGAAGCGAAGCCTCACCTTCACATCAGCGTGTTGGAACTGAGAGCTGTGCGGTTGGTATTGGCGCTTCCAGATAGCATGTCCGTGGCCAGGTAGTCCGTCTTCAGTTAGACAACCAGGCGGCCATGTCGTACATCCTGAAGCAGGGAGGCACGGTGTCTGGCGGCTCCTCCGAGGCGTGGGACTTTCTCCTCTGGAGCGACCAATGCGATTGTCAGGTACTCCCTGTTTATCTCCGGGGCTGGAGAGCGATGCGAGCAGATCGGCTCTCTCGCGGATCCTGGCCCCGCGACGCAGTGGATGCTTTCGACAGGCAGATATTCACAGTAATCTCCCAGTTGTGCGGGTCGTTCGAGGTGGATCTGTTTGCGTCCGGGGGGCGCATCGAGATTTCCGATGTTCTGCTCGGATACCCGGACCCAGAGGCGTTGGCTGCCGCGCCTTCCTGCTGGATTGGACGGGCAAAGTGCTCTGGGGCGTTCCGCCGTTACCACTCATTCCCCGTGTCCTTTCACAGCTGTCCACCCAGCCAGCTCGGCTACTTGTGCTACTGGCACCGCTTTGGCCGTCCACAGAGCTGGTTTCCAGTAATTCTCAGGTTTCTGGCTCAGCCTCCTGTTCTATTACCTTTGCGGACGGACATTCTCACTCAGAGCGGCCCCCACCCAAATCCGCAGATTCAGTGGGTGGCTTGGCCTCTGTCAGGTCTAACCTCGAGGCAGCGGAATTCCTGCAGCAGTTGCAGACACAATTCTGGCCGGTGGAGGGATTCGACAAGCGTTCAGATGCGAGGATAGGTGGTCCGCTATGCTGGCTGGTGTTCAGATAAAGGGGATTGCAGATCCCTTTTCTGCGGATTTAGTCAGTATTGGAGTTTTGCAAGCTCGTTTGGAAGAAGGCCTGGCGGCCGACCATTAAGCGGCTACTCCACCGCTATTTCCACTTTTCACACCCCTGTCGATGGTGCTCTTCTGGGGCAGCACCCTCTCGTACAGCGCTTTCTCGCTGGGCGGAGCGGATTCGACCTGCTCTCAGGCGAACCAGTCCACCTTGGGATTTGTCGATCGTGCTTTCGATTGGCTGTCGGTCCCACTTTCTCACACCTATCGGCTATTTCCATTCAGTTGTTGACCTGGAAAGCTGTTTTCTGGTGGCGGTAACATCTGGTCGTAGAGTCGGGCGATTAACATGCTATGTCGTCCGACCGGCTGACTGTGTTTCACCGCGGATCGTGTCAGCATTCGCCTCCCAGATACTTACCGACCCGAAGGTCGATCAGCTTTCCATGTGACAGCTCCTATCGAGAACTTCCTACTCTTACCCAGCCTTCCACATGGGGACCACTCCTCTGAGCACTCACCCGTTGGATGTCCGGTAAAGGCGCTCAAAGTCTATCTCTCAAAGCGAGCGCAGGGGATCCGTGCGGGTACCCAGCTGTTCTGTTGTTACGGATGGCGGGAAGGCTGGTCGCCAGCGAGCAAGCAGACTTTGTCAAGCTGGCTAGTATCGATAATATTTGTGCCGCTTATCAGGCTAAGGGGCAAGCCTCCCCTGAGGGTTGAAGGCTCACTTTCGGTCAGGGCAGTAGCAGCATCAAAGCTTTTGCATCGGCACTCCCCATTGAAGAGATCTGCTCTGCGGCTATTTGGAGCCGGCCAAACGTTTATCACGCCATTATCAGCTCGTCGCATTCCGTAATCGTTGCAAACTTTTTTGCCGTACTGTTCTCTCCAGTGGACAGTGTCCTGCCACCCTGACCGAAAGTGAGTCTTGGTTTATTGGTTTGTTTTGGCTACTGTACAATAAGATTCCATTATTGACATGTCTGCTAATGTGCGAGCTCACTCAGAGAACCTGTACCCCCGCTTCGATTCTCTCACGGAGTTACTGTATCGTTAGTGAGTGGTATTTTTGTTTTCCCCTACGGTGCTCTCATGAAAGAAGCCACTTAGTGGGTCGGATTTCATTGACATTAAGCACTCGTTGCAATGTCTCATTATGCTAGAGGTCGTCTTTGAGCACAAATCCTCCTGTCAGTTCCCCTCCCATAATGCCTCGCGGAAGCGAAACTGGGTCAGTGACAGGTGAGTGTTATGGCGTCTGTTCAATTTTTTCCATGATACGATGGCTATATTTTGAGTGTGCTTGGACAGAATTCCCTCCTCCCTGGCCTCCGGTCTTTGGGAGTCTGTGTTTATGCATAATATGTACCCCAAGGACAATCTCTCTGAAAAGAATTAACCAAACCTGCAGAGGTTTTCAATTCTTTGAAGAGAGTAGATCCTTGGGGTAGGGCCTCCACCTCCCCGCAATTCTGTTCACTGATAAGAATTCAGCAGAAGGAATGATGATACGGGTCTAGGAGCCTACCCAGTTGGTGCGCATGCGCTAAGGGAGGTAACTCCGTGAGGTAGGGTCCGTATAATAAATAAAAGAGTTTATTTATTGTACAATCTTTTTATTCAAAAAACATTGATACAACTGTCACAGGACATTTTTCAGCCGGAAAATGCATAATATGTACCCCAAGGACGACTCTCTTCAAAGAATTGAAAACCTCTGCAGGTTTGGTTAAGTTCTATGGATATACAACTTCTATATTACAGTACAACCAGAAAGAATTGAGAATTGTAAATTTATATATTTTTTAACTCATTGCTCATGTATTAAATGTGAATATTAGCAGATCATAACTCCTGATTCAAAGACAGGTGAACAGTTAGTATTTTGTCAAGTCACTATTGGCAGCAATGCAGGCTTCAATGCGGCGGGGCATACTACTGATCAAAGAAGTGAGAAAGTCGTGGTCCATGCTGTCCCAATATCGGACCACCTCTTCTTTCATTTCAGAAATATTTGTCAGATTTTTCTTATTGACACTTTCCTTCATGAGTCCCCAAACATTTTCTATTGGATTTAGGTCAGGACTATAGCTTGGCCAATCTAATAATGTCATATTTTGAGTCCGAAACCAGGCCTGTGAATGCTTTGAACGATGTTTTGGGTCGTTGTCCTGCTGGAAAATCAAAAAATGTCCATAGAACATGTGAGCAGATGGAAGTAAATTTCCCTCGAGAATATCTGTGTACCGCTCACAGTTCATATTCCTTTCAAATACACAGAGGGGCGTTGCCCCTAACACAGATATGCCCCTCCACACTTTAAATTTCGGACTGTACTTTGGGAGCTGATACAAAGGTTTTTCAGTTTGTTTGGTCCAGAATTTCAGTATATTAGGAAACAGCCACACAGAGCTTTCATCTGAGAAAATCACATTGTCCCAGTTAAAATTCTATGCTGTAAGCACCAGTTCAACCTTCGCTCCTTTTGTTCAGGTTTCATGATCGGTGATGGAATTCCTCGACTTTTCTGTCAACCCATTGCATGCAGCTCAGTTCTAATTGTCTCCTTACAGACAGCCACAGTTCCTCTATCAATCATGTCCAGCCATAAGTTTTCTAAACTTCTTCGTTTGTTTTTAGAAACAGGAATACCAAGCCGCCTCCTGTCACCGACAGTCAATTTTCTGGGCCTACCTGCACCTCCCTGTGCTCAATGCCATATCCATTTGCAATATTTTTCAAAACACGATAAACAGTGGACAAAGGGATGCCTGTTCTACTTGAAATCACTTTAGCTGATCTGATGTCCTTGTTATAATACTCTAAAATCAACTTCCTCTTCTCTAAATCATCCATACTGAGGATCACTGAAAATGTTGTCTGCTAGCAAGTAAACAAAGGGGGATAACTCTTCACAAACTAATGAAAAATGATTGACAGAGTTGTCTCTCTTGAATGAAACCAAGCACTTGATAGCTGGTCAAGGTTGTTTATACTAGAAATCCTATTAAACATATTCCTAAACTTGTCAATAGTTTCTGGTCATACTATATTAATATGAGTGATGTTTCAGTGTATCAAGCAAGTGTTTGTTTTGCTTGATAACGGTTTTAGAAGCTACACCAAAACATCGCTCATATTAATTACAAAGAAGTTGGATAATTCCATAGAACTCTCTACATTGTTCATCTTTTAGTTTAGAAAACATTGGGGTGGTGGGGTCACTTAATGTTTAATGTTTCCGCTCATCTCGCTGAAGACCCGGCTTCGATTCCCCACATGGGCACAATGTGTGAAGCTCATTTCTGGTGTCCACCGCCGTGATATTGCTGGAATGTTGCTAAAAGTGGCGTAAAACCATACTCACACACTCAAGCTCACATGCTGTGATGTCACTGAAATACTGTTCAAAGCAGAGGTGAATTAAACTCACTCACTCACTCACTCACTCACTCACTCACTGCATCCATGATGTGGCTTGATACTTTGCCTCTGTTTAATATCAGCTTGTGTTTGTGTTTTCATCTGACAGTGTCTAGTGTCTGAGTATCATATTGTTGCTGTGTAGATCGTGACCCTGAGGGACACAGAGATTCCACAACTGAAGAACAAACAGCGGCGCCTGAACGAGGAGATCCAGAAACTCCGGGACCTGGTGCAGAACGTGAGTCAGCAGCCCAGCAACAGAAATCAGGGGGACACGACTCTTGGCTGCAGACTTACTGTGTTAAGATGGGGTAGCCAAGTTGTTATGGCATTTGCTCATCGCGCTGAGAACCCATGTTGGATTCTCTATATGGGCACAATGTGTGAAGCCCATTTCTGGTGTTACCCCCTGTGATGTTGCTGGAATATTGCTAAAGGCTGTGTAAAACCAAACTCACGTACTTACTTGCTGTGTTAAACTGGTTTAAGTCAGTTAATGGAAAATTTCAACTGTTGGCACCATTCTTGTCATATCTGTGATGACTGCTTTCCTGACAATATTTTTTGACAAATAACCCTATCTGAGATTCATTTTCATGGTTTGGTTAGACACACTCTTATGGTGTACCGCCTCCGTGGTGTAGTGGTTAGAGCGTCCGCCCGGAGAGCGGAAGGTCGCGGGTTCAATCCCCGACTGCGTCATACCAAAAGACATTAAAATATGGTACTTGTTGGTCCCTGCCTGGCGTTCGACATTAATGGGTACAACGAGGACTGGTCAGCTTGGAGTCAATATAATGTGTCTGAGTGGGGTATTCATGCTTCACTGCGGCATGATATCTCAGTAGGCTAGCACTATAAAACCAGCTTAAGTCTGGGCTAGTACAAGCAGCTGCACATACACATACACACGCATGCACGTCGTCATGTGAGCGAAATATTCTCAAGCACAACGTTAAACCCAATTTCACCTCACCTCACCTCTTATGGTGTGAGTAATTTTTTTTGAAGTCTGCACAAAATGAGGCAGTTCATGTTATTCATGTGTCTGTTATTCCTGGTTTAAATTCCTGTGTGGCTGTCTGACTTCTGGTGTGTTTGTTCCGAATTGTTGACAGAAAGAGGATGAGCTGCAGGCCAAGGAGACGGACGAGGTGACCGGGAAGGGCATGCAGCCCGACATTGTAATGATGGATCGCTACTATGGCGAGATCAGAGAACTGGACAAGAAGATTGCCACACAAAGCTCCATGTTGTCTGGAGGAGGTAAGGAGGGTTTTATGGGGTAGTGGAGGCACAGGTAGTGGAAGCACAGGTAGTGGAGGCACGGGTAGTGGAGGCACGGGGACTGGGTAGTGGAAGGACGGATAGTGGAGATAGTGGAGGCACGGGTAGTGGAAGCATGGGTAGTGGAGGTACTGGGTAGTGGAGGCATGGGTAGTGGATAGTGGATTCACGGGTAGTGGAGGCGTGGGTAGTGGAGGCGCTGGTAGTGGAGACATGGGTAGTGGAGGCATTGGTACTGGGTAGTGGAGGCGTGGGTAGTGGATTCACGGGTAGTAGAGGTGTGAGTAGTGGAGGCGCTGGTAGTGGAGGCATGGGTAGTGGAGGCATTGGTACTGGGTAGTGGAGGCGTGGGTAGTGGATTCATGGGTAGTGGAGGCGTGAGTAGTGGAGGTGTGGGTACTGGGTAGTGGAGGCACGGATAGTGGAGGTGTGGGTAGTGGAAGCGTGGGTAGTGGAGGCATGGGTAGTGGAGGCATTGGTACTGGGTAGTGGAGGCACAGATAGTGGAGGCGTGGGTAGTGGATTCACGGGTAGTGGAGGCGTGGATAGCGGAGGCATTGGTACTGGGTTCTTTTTGTCTTTTCATCACCAAAAGAATATTTGTTTGGTTTTCAGACTCTGGACGGACCCTGGAGACTGTGATTGGGGAAAAAGAAGACAAGCAGATGCAGCTGTGAGTGTTGTGGCCAAAGAGTTGCCAGTTATAGGATGCCAGTTGTATACAGGGGATGCCAGTTGTATACAGGAGATGCCAGGTGTAGGCATAGGATGCCAGATGTAGGCAGGGGATGCCAGATATAGGCAGAGGATGGCCGATGTAGGCAGGGGATACCAGATGTAGGCAAGGGATGCCAGATGTATTCAGGTGATGCCAGATCTATACAGGGGATGCCAGATGTAGGCTGAGGATGGCTGATGTAAGCAAGGGATGCCAGATATATACAGGGGATGCCAGATGTAGGCAGGGGATGTCAGATGATGGTTGATATAGGCAAGGAATGCCAGATGTAGGCAGGGGTTGCCAAATCTATACAAGGGATGCCAGATATAGACAGAGGATGGCCAATGTAGGCAGGGGATGCCAGATGTATTCAGGGGATGCCAGATATATGCATAGGTTGCCAGATGTAGGTATGGGATGCCAGATGTAGGCAGGTGATGCCAGATATATACAGGGGATGCCAGATGTAGGCAGGGGATGCCAGATGTATACAGAGGATGCCAGATATATACAGAGGATGCCAGATGTAGGCAGGGGATGGCTGATGTAGGCCAGGGATGCCAGGTGTAGGCAGGGGATGCAAGATGTATGTTAGATGTAGGTGTAAATACAAGTATGATAGTGTGTTTATATGTGTATATCCAGGTTAGAGGGGCAGTGGTTCAAGTGTTCCCTCATCACACTGAAGGCCAAGGTTTAATTCCCTTCATGGGTGCCATGTGTCAAGCCTATTTCTGACGTACCCCAATGGTGACTAAAGCTAAATGTGCCTCACTCACTCACACTAAACCATGCTTCCATGGCAGAGATACCATCAATCGCAGGCTGGACCATAAGAGACAGAAGCTGAGTGACCACTCAGAGCATGTGCAGAAGCTGAGGTCAAAGATGAACTCTTTGAAGGAAGAGAAGCTGAAGATTGACAGTGAGCTGCAACAGCAGACGAAGTTGGAGGAGACAAAGACTAGCCGCATCACCGACAACAAACTTCATGAACAGGACATCCAGGTAACTCAGTCTGTTGCTGTTGGTAGTTACAGCAACATTATGCAGAGTGTTGGCTGTTTTACCAGCTACTGATGGTACAGTCTCTCTATGATACTTACACATTAATATGAAACGCAGAGATGCCAATCATCACAAGTTTGGCATAACAGTTACAATACTGAGCTTAAATGTATGCTTTTCAGCCTCCTCTAATTTGGATGTTTGAAAAAAAAATTTACTTGTAAATATGAACATTTTTAATGTGATGTGAAGAATTCTACAAAGATTTTGCTGAGCAATGAGAGCCATACTTTGAATTCACAGTATATAAATCCATTATGCTGTAATGCTCCGTGGTACAAGGTCTTTGATTGGTTGTTAGATAAAACACATTCAAGTCATTTTATCAGTTGTTCTTTGTGGTGCAGACAAAGAACTAAACATACACTATATTACTTCAGAACTCCAAACACTGCTCCTCTGTTTCCGAAAATTTGTAATTGGAGTCCCATGTCTTGTATGTATGTATGGAGCTTTGACCACATATTTCACAAAATCATGAAAATACCTGTATTCATTGGTTACTGCTCAAATTTCATTCAATCTGTGTTATTGAAACATACCAGCATCGTAGATGTATCCTTCTTTTTAGATTTACAACAAATGAGTGATTGATAAAAAGGGAAATAAATGAACAGGATTTAAATAGTTAGTGTTGACTTTTTCATTCAAAAAGGATGACATAATAAGTTGTAGCATTGTGTAGAGGGGTATACGGGGTTTTATACATCCCTCGTTAGGTTTTATCCACCTCGCCCCCGTATACCCAAATCATAATGCTACAACAAATTTATCTTACCAAATGTTTAAATCTTTCATTATGTAAAAATAACATTAAAACAAACTGAAATTCAGTAATATATTTTACTAACCTGGTGAGGTGAGGTGAAATTGGGTTTAATGTCGTGCTTGAGAATATTTCGCTCATGACGACGTGTATGCGTTTGTATGTGTATGTGCGGCTGCTTGTACTAGCCCAGACTTAAGCTGGTTTTATAGTGCTAGCCCACTGAGATACCATGCCGCAGTGAAGCCTGAATACCCCACTCAGACACATTATACTGACTCCGAGCCGACCAGTCCTTGTTGTACCCATTAATGCCGAGCGCCAGACAGGGACCAACAAGTACCATATTTTAACGTATTTTGGTATGACGCGGTCGGGGATCGAATCCGCGACCTTCCGCTCTCCGGGCGGATGCTCTAACCACTACACCACTGAGGCGGTCTACTAACCTGGTACTGATGAGTCAATCTGAACAACTGGTTCACGGTTCACTGACTGCCGTGGAGACATGCTCTTTCCATGGGGCAGGGTATGAATGATTTATTCTCTCCATTTATACCCCGCTGGGGCGGTGTACATCTGTGCACTGGGCATACATGGTAATTTGTTCAAGGACACATAAACCAATCAGAGATGGACATTCTTACATGAGGTAGGATAAATACTAGTGTGACAGTTTACTGTTTTAAACCACAGTTATGAACTGTTTCATGAGCTGTTTTAGGAAACAGCATCTGGTTACAATGGACAATGGGTGGAACAATCGTTGTTGTTTATTGATCATTGTTTTTCAATTCCAGTATTGATGGAATACAGGTACATGATAATCTTTGTTTGTTTGCAGGAAGCCAAGACACAGATCGGACCACTTGAGGTACGTTGTCTGTAATAATAACAATGATCATAATGATACAAATATGATTCAGAATAAGGAAAAACATGGCAAATGCCCTGCTTGAATCAAAATTTGCAAATTGTCTGATTCCCCATTGTTCTCGGTGCCCAAGGTTTGGAACCTCCCAACATCTTGACCGACATTGAGAGAGTACCTGGTTTTCCTGCAAGGAACACAGCCTTTCTGACACTCTGGGTAATGCAGAAGTCTGCAATGTTGAGCAGCCTAAACATTCTCCGCAAAGTTCTTAGTGGGTTGGATTGGTCAGCTGTTTCTTTGAGAAGTCCCGTTTTCTGGCCATGAGCAGATGATGAGTCTAACCACCTGGATGTTCCGGGATCACTTGAACCCTCTTTGATGCATTTATTATTTGAATCTGTAAATGATAATACAGTGTAATAAATTGCTATTGAACGCTTTGTTTAACTGTACTGACAGTGACTGGTGTGTCCACAGGAGCAGATTGAGCGCCAGCGCCAGGAGAAGATGAAATTGGTGGCTACCAAGGAAGACAAGCTTGACGGAGCCAAGGCGGAGGTAAGTTTAGCTAAACACCATAGCCATCTCCTGCTTTTACGGAGCCAAGGCGGAGGTAAGTTTAGCTAAACACCATAGCCATCTCCTGCTTTGACGGAGCCAAGGCCGAGGTAAGTTTAGCTAAGCACCATAGCCATCTCCTGCTTTGACGGAGCCAAGGCGGAGGTAAGTTTAGCTAAACACCATAGCCATCTCCTGCTTTGACGGAGCCAAGGCCGAGGTAAGTTTAGCTAAACACCATAGCCATCTCCTGCTTTGACGGAGCCAAGGCCGAGGTAAATTTAGCTAAACACCATAGCCATCTCCCCCTTACAATGTTCCTGCTTGAATCCTTTGTTTGTGTGGCGATATATCTATGATTCTTGACACCACACCCATTCTGATAGATTTCACCAGAGTTGTAAACATCTGACGCCTGCATCAGTGTGAAATAACTAGAGTACTGTAGAACCAAACTCACTCTTTGTAGGATCTGCCTTGCGAAATGGTACTCAAAATGTGCATATTGGTTTATGCCTTAAAAAAATGAAAAAAACATTGAAGTCAAATCGAAACAGGTCCGACAGGATAAAATAGCAGATAAGGTGGGATATGAGGTGTGGTGCTACAATAGTAGATAAGGTGAGATGGGGATTCTTGTTACACTCTGGGAGGCAAGGTGATACAACATGGTGAGCTGTATGTCAAGGTTGCTGTGTTTACAGATTGACTGTGTGAAGTCGGAGGCCAAACAAGTAAAGGACGTCAACGGTGAAATCAAGCTGTGAGTACACTTATATAGGTGTATAAGGATTCTCTCCTTACTTCTAGAGGTGGTACAGTTATATATGGGTATTAGGATTCTCTCCTTACTTCTAGAGGTGGTACACTTATATAGGTGTATAAGGATTCTCTCCTTACTTCTAGAGATGGTACACTTGTATAGGTGTATAAGGATTCTCTCCTTACTTCTAGAGGTAGTACAGTTATATAGGGGTATTAGGATTATCTCCTTACTTCTAGAGGTGCTACAGTTATATAGGGGTATTAGGATTCTCTCCTTACTTCTAGAGGTGGTACACTTATATAGGTGTATTAGGATTCTCTCCTTACTTCTAGAGGTGGTACACTTATATAGGTGTATAAGGATTTTCTCCTTACTTCTAGAGGTGATACACTTATATAGGGGTATTAGGATTCTCTCCTTACTTCTAGAGGTGGTACAGTTATATAGGGGTATAAGGATTCTCTCCTTACTTCTAGAGGTGGTACACTTATATAGGTGTATAAGGATTTTCTCCTTACTTCTAGAGGTGGTACACTTATATAGGGGTATTAGGATTCTCTCCTTACTTCTAGAGGTGGTACACTTATATAGGTGTATAAGGATTCTCTCCTAACTTCTAGAGGTGGTACAGTTATATAGGGGTATTAGGATTCTCTCCTTCTAGAGGTGGTACACTTACATAGGTGTATAAGGATTCTCTCCTTACTTCTAGAGGTGGTACACTTATATAGGTGTATAAGGATTCTCTCCTTACTTCTAGAGGTGGTACACTTATATAGGTGTATAAGGATTCTCTCTTTACTTCTAGAGGTGGTACACTTATATAGGTGTATAAGGATTCTCTCCTTACTTCTAGAGGTGGTACACTTATATAGGTGTATAAGGATTCTCTCCGTACTTCTAGAGGTGGTACACTTATATAGGTGTATAACGATTCTCTCTTTACTTCTAGAGGTGGTACACTTATATAGGTGTATAAGGATTCTCTCCTTACTTCTAGAGGTGGTACACTTATATAGGTGTATAACTATACTCTCTTTACTTCTAGAGGTGGTACACTTATATAGGTGTATTAGGATTCTCTCCTTACTTCTAGAAGTGGTACAGTTATATAAGGGTATAAGGATTCTCTCCTTACTTCTAGAGGTATTAGTTATATAAGTGTATTAGGATTCTCTCCTTTTTTCCGACCGCCTCCGTGGTGTAGTGGTTAGAGCGTCCGCCTCCATGGTGTAGTGGTTAGAGCGTTCGATCCCCATCCGCGTCATACCAAAAGACGTTAAATTATGGTACTTGTTGGTCCCTGCATGGCGCTCGGCATCACAGGGTACAACAAGGACTGGTCGGCTCGAAGTCAGTATAATGTGTCTGAGTGGGGTATTCATGCTTCACTGCGGCATGGTATCTCAGTGGGCTAGCACTATAAAACCAGCTTAAGTCTGGGCTAGTACAAGCAGCCGCACATACACTTACACATGCATGCATGTCGTCTTATGAGCGAAATATTCTCAAGCATGACGTTAAACCCCATTTCACCTCACCTCATCTCCCTTTCTTTTAGAGGTGTTAGTTATAAGTGTGTATAAGGATTTTATCCTTACATCTAGAGGTGTTGCCGCCATATAGCTGGAATATTGCTGAGTGCGGCGTAAATCCAAACTCACTCACTCTAGAGGTGTTAGTTATATAGATGTATAAGGATTCCCTCCTTCTATTATGCCGCACTCACCAATATTCCAGCTATATGGCGGCAGTCTGTAAATAATTGAGTCTGGACCAGACAATCCGGTGATCAGCATGAGCGTTGATCTGAGGATTTGTGATACAATGACATGTGTCAACCAAGTAAGAGAGCCTGACCATCCGATCCCATTAGTCACCTCTTACAACAAGCATGGGTTACTGAAGATCAGTTCTAACCAGAATCTTCATGGGTTGTATTGTATTGTATTGTATTGTATTGTATGTTACAAGGATTGGCAAATGGAAGAATGATATCATGGGCCTTGAATCAGGATGCAATTCTGTATCTCCGTACTGTTAGTACTTGTAACTGCTATGTGTACAGTACCTACAGACAGGAGAGAGTGAATACAGCGTGGGAGGCAGCGTGGTCAGAGAGACAAGTTTATTGTTTCTCCTGTGTCTTCAGGTACAACCAGTCTATGAAGGCAGACAGACTAGAAGAGCGTCAGGAACGGATGTCGACCATCACTACGAAGGAGACAAGTGTGAACCAGGAGCGTGAGGAGATCACGGAGAATGTCAACAAGCTCAGCAAGGACCTGGCCACTCAGCAGGTGAGTTCAGTACAGACGTCATACAGCTTCTCGCATCAGGTCAGTTAAGTACAAAGGTTGTATGACCTGACGTCAGGTGAACTCTGTACAGAAGTTGTATGACCCGACATCAGGCGAACTCTGTACAGAAGTTGTATGACCTGACATCAGGCGAACTCTGTACAGAAGTTGTATGACCTGACATCAGGCGAACTCTGTACAGAAGTTGTATGACCTGACATCAGGCGAACTCTGTACAGAAGTTGTATGACCTGACGTCAGGTAAACTCTGTGCAGAAGTTATACAGCTTCTCACATCAGAATGGAGTCAAGATTAATTTTACTGAATCCCTGGAGCCTTTTAGGTAATGTTTGTCCTCGAGTTTAGCATACACCTTCTTCATTCCCTTTTCTCTCTCAGCAGAGTTGTTTCTGTTGTACTGCAAAACATGTCATCGTTTCCCACAGCGTGTTCTTGAGGTGATACTCTGGTGGTAGGTCTTAAGAGAGTCCAAGTGCAGACTTGGTGAAGAATTGACCTGATAAACAAATCGGCTGCAGCAAGTGCAGGATAAATATTCCTTCTTCTCAGATCCGAGAGCGGGAGTTGATGGACAACCTTCAGCTACGGCAGAAGCAGAAGGAGGTGGGCCGTCTGGAGCGTGAGATCGGCGTCCTGCAAGACCAGATGGGAGACTTTGACACTGCCAACCTGGAGAGAGAGAGGAGGAAGTTGCTGCAGAAGGCAGATGAGATGCAGAAAGAGGTAGGACACAAGTGATATATTTCTGTTCTTGAGCATAACACATACTTGTGTTTAACACACATCCTTCCTTGGAAGTGAAGGTCAAGTATTCCAATTTTATCAGTTGTGTATTTTCTGTCATGAGCATGGAGCAATGGAGCTGAAAATTGCACATACCTAATCCCACCACTGCCATGGTTCAGATCTGATTTTCAATATAGCTGCTATGGCAACTAATAATATGCCTTGGAAATTCATACTAGTCTGCAAATCGAAGACTAAGGGACCATTCATATTCTTTTTTATATATTCCTCCTTGGGGTACTTATAAGCATTTAAATGTCCATTTAAAATCCCTACGACAGTTGTAACAATATTTGAATAAAAATATTTACAAAACAAAAACTACGTTTTGTCTTGTGAGACCACCCTTACAGGTCCCTCCGGCCCCCTACAGCCAAGAGCAGGTAACTCTAGACCGTAACCTCGTACCTCACTTTCCATGCTGTCGTTTACTGGCAAGACGTGGGTCCACTTCCAAGAAGTTTTAATTTCCCAACACGAATATGAGTGTCTCAGAAACAGCTACTGTATGTATGGTTCTCTTTTTTCCCTGCATTGGCGATTTGGAGACTTGTTCTGAACTTTTCATTCATAATTTCTGGTTGTAACTTGGTACCTCTAGCCCCGATTTCGCCGAGTCTCTGCGTGTCAAGATGCATGGAGAGGTCCCTTTGCTAGCTTCCTCACTGTTCATTGGCTTCCCATGTGTTTTTTCAATGTTACGTGTGGTTATAGTAATTTTTATTTATGTGTTATTACATGTAGGGCGTTGTTTCCGCTGCTGGCATTTTCTATCTTACGCTAAAAGTCGTAATTGTTAGTTATGTTGCAGTGCGTATTGCTTGTTATTGTCAACTGTATGCTACGTTTGTCACATTAGTTGTGTCGCCCATGCATGTTTTTTCATATATGTATGTATGTATGGGGTAGATTGCTGCACAGGTTTTTTACTTGATGCAGTTTAAATCCTGTACTTCGTGCCTCGCTGCCATTCCCGTGAGGGATACGCACGAGGTATGTTTTAGATGTCTCATGCAGACTGATCATGAAGAAGAGGGTAGACAAGCTGTGGACAAGGGTGGACAGGCGGGTGGACAAGCTGTTCTACAGCAACCTGCTTCGGGCGGGGTCGATATCTGGGCTCAGGATCTCCCGTCCAAACTTTCACACACTAAAAAAAAGGGGTCTGCGGGAGCCGCTTCCCGTACGGAACCGGCTCCCAAAAGGGCTAAAGTTACCAAGGAGGCTTCGTCTGAAAAAACTAATGCTCCTTCTGTATCTCAACCTGCCCCTGTATCTGTTTCCAACACATCCCCTGTTGTATCGGCACCCATTGTCCCTGTTGCCTCATGAACTGCTCTTTTCCAGGAACAGATGTCGTCGGTGAAATCCCTGATCGATACAGCATTGGCTGGGTTCCGTACGGAGAACGCACCTCCCCCCGGGCAGCTTGATCCCGGCTTAGGCCGCGGGGATAGCGCGTCTGGCGCCGGCGATGCAGGGTTACGCCTGTCTCCGCCTGGTGCCCTGACTGGCAGGCGCCTAGGCGCCGACCAGCTCGGTGATACCTCGGCGCCTGGCAGCCAGTCTGGGTTGCCCGGGAAACGTGTCGCGGCGAACCTGTCGCCCGGGAAACCTGGGCGCCTCGGCGACCTGGCGTGGGTTCCACCCGGCAGGGCGACTCATTCCCTCTGGCGCCTCTCGACCTTTTGAGTCTTTCTTGTTCAGCCTCTGGTGTATCCTCGGCAGTCTCTCAGAAGTATGAGAGTACGGCGGCCGAGGAGTTTCGGCTCCCGGGGGAGGCTTTCGCGCCTAGCCGGGTCGCTAGGTCTGCGTATCGGTCATTTGAGGAGTGCTACCGGTGGGCAGCCCAGCAATTAAAAGTGGCTGTCCACTCAGCCTACCTGACTGCTCTGCAGGGACAGCTGGTGGATCAAAGTGCTTGTGGCGCCGACATTCGTCAGCGCCGCAGCTAACGGGTGTCCACTCTCATCTGGCTCGGGATAGCATTCGGTGCTGTGCCAGCCAGATGATGGGTGCCATTATTGGCTTGCGCCGCCTGTGGTTGTCCGTGGCGCAGTATTCACCGGCTACGCAACAGGCGCTCCTGTCTTTGCCTTATACCATGGGGTCCTCCCTGTTCCCTGGGGCAGTACAGGTTGTACGGGAGGCCACAGAGGCCGTGTCTACCTTCAAAGACTCTAAGCCTTTGTTGGAGCAGCCCTCCGTTCCTCGCCAACGGCCTTCCCCGCTCGCTTCCGCTTATCCTTCTGCCCCGGCGAAGGAATCTGCAAAGTAGACTGCCCCTTTGCAGCCCAAGCGGAGCAAGCGCACAAGAGGCAAGGGCAGGCCTGCTCAGTCACAGCAGCCTTTTCAGGGCAGGGGGAAGCCAGCCCCGGCTGATTCCTTCCCCAGAGCCCTTATTGCCCCCCACTCCTGCAAGCGGAGACTTGCCGACTGTGGGGGTGCACTGCCTCATGCCAAATGTCCCTGTCGGCGGCCGGTTGTCCCTATTCCTTCGGGAGTGGGAGGAAGCCACCACAAATCCCTGGGTCTTGTCCACACTCAGGGATGGCCATTTGCCACAGTGGAGGCGAGATCCTCCGTCCTTCTCCGGGGTTCGGCACACTGATGTGCCGACTTCCCGAGACAAGGCGGACGTGCTCTGTGCCGAGGTTCAGTCCTTACTGAACAAGGCAGCCATCGAGGTGGTTCCAGTGGGTCAGCATGGAGAGGGGTGTTACTCCACCTACTTCCTAGTGACCAAAAAGGACGGAAGGTTCAGACCCATTCTGAATCTCAGAGGGCTGAACAAGTTACTGGAGGTGCCGTCTTTCAGGATGGAGACACTCAGGTCAGTGATCTCCTCCGTCGAGACGCGATTGGCTTACGTCAATCGATCTCAAAGACACATACCTCCATGTTCCAATGCACCCCGAGTTCAAGAAGTACCTCCGGTTCTCCTTCGACGGGACGTGCTACCAGTTTCGTGTGCTCCCCTTCAGCATCTCCACGGCGCCAAGGGTGTTCACCAAACTTATGCTAATCCCATCTCAGTTAGCCAGGTTTCAGGGCAGGTGTTGTCATCCGTACCTAGACGATTGACTTCTCAGGGCCTTAGGTCCTCAGTTAAGCAGAGCCTCCACACTGTGCGTGATGGATACTCTGGTGTCACTGGGCTGGATTATCAACCTCAAGAAATCAGACCTCGTTCCGACGCAGGATCTGATATTCTTGGGGGCCAGATTCAACACGGAGCTAGGGATTGTTTCCCTTGCTCCGGACCGTATCGTCAAAGTCCAGAGGACTGTGTTACATGCGTCGGCCCAAACATGGCTTCGGTCGCTAGGCAACATGGCGGCGACAGTGGACGTGGTTTGGCGTGTGCGTCTGAGGATGCGACCAGTTCAGCAAGCGTTAGCTCAGCTGTGGTCCCACTCGCAGAGCTACGAGATTATTGTCACGACGCCCGAGTGGTTAATTCCTCACTTGCAGTGGTGGACGGACATCTGGAATTTGTCCAGGGGGATCCCCCCAGACATCACGACACCTTCCCTCTCAGTTCAGACGGACGCCTCCCCCACAGGATGGGGCGGGGTCCTGGGCGAGCACTCAGTCTCCGGTCTCTGGTCGGAGCGGGAAGTCAGCCTACACATCAATGTGTTAGAACTGAAAGCAGTCGGGTGTTTGTTCAGGGCCGTGTGGTTCGTCTAGAAATGGACAATCAAACGGCCATGTCTTACATTCTCAAGCAAGGCGGCACAGTGTCTCCGTCGCTCCTTCAGGAGGCGTGGCAGTTTCTACTGTGGTGTGAACAGTTCAATATTCGGGTTTTGCCTGTTTATCTCCCGGTGGTAGACAACGTCCGTGCAGATGCACTCTCACGGCATACTAGCCCCACACGAGTGGATGCTCGACAGGGAGATATTTGGGATTATCTCCCAGTTGTTCGGGTCGTTCCAGGTGGATCTGTTTGCGTCTGGGGTGACGAACCAGATTCCTGTGTTTTGCTCTCGGATTCTAGATTCGAGAGCGCTAGCTAACGACGCCTTTCAGCTCGATTGGACAGACGATACCACTGATTTCCAGGGTCCTGTCGCAGCTGACCGCACAACCAGCTCGGCTACTTGTGCTTCTGGCACCCCTTTGGTCGGCACAAAGTTGGTTTCCGGTAATTCTCAGGATTCTGGCTCAGCCTCCTGTTGTATTACCTTTTCGACCGCAGCTCCTATCCAAGAACGGAGCGCCCCACCCGAATCCCAGGATTCAGTGGGTGGCTTGGCCGCTGTCAGGGATCGCCTCCGTGCGAGCGGAATTCCTGCACCAGTTGCAGACACAATTCTGGCTTCGCGGAGGGATTCGACAAACGTTCAATATGAGGATAGATGGGCCTGTTATTCGCGCTGGTGTGTCAACAGGGGGATTCTTGATCCCTTTTCTACAGATTTAGTCTCTGTTTTAGAATTCATCCAGTCTCGGTTGGACGCCGGTCTAGCGGCTTCAACTGTTCAAGGATATTCTACGGCTATTTCGAGGATATTCTACGGCTATTTCTGCGTTTCATATTCCTGTTGACGGTGCTCTCTTGGGGCAACACCCTCTTGTACAGCGCTTTTAAGGAGGCGTGGACAGAATCCGTCCGGTTGTCCGGCGGATTAGTCCCCCGTGGGACTTGTCAATTGTTCCTGATTGGCTGTCCGGTCCACTGTTTCACAATCTGTCAGCTCTTTCACTCCAGCTGTTGACGTGGAAGACGGCATTTCTTGTGGCAGTGACTTCAGGCAGGCGGGTTGGCGATATTCACGCAATGTCGGCTGATCCCGCACTTACTGTTTTTCACAAAGACAGAGTAAGCATACGGCTGCCTGATACTTACCGTCCTAAGAAGGATAGTCCCTTCCATGTGATGGCGCCTATTGAGCTCCCAGCTTTCACTCAGCCTTCCCTGCCTGGCACCTCTCTACGACGTGCTCACGTCTGAGATGTCCGTAAGACACTTAAAGCTTATATCAAACGAACAAGGGGTACCCGTAAGGATAACCAATTGTTTTGTTGTTATGGCGGGGTTCAGGCTTGTCTTCCGGCGACCAAGCCAACCATTTCTCGGTGGCTTGTCTCTGCCATACATATGAGCTATACTCAAACAGGGCGTATCCCGCCTGTAGGGTTGAAAGCTCATTCGGTTAGGGCAGTTGCTACTTCGAAAGCTCACGCTGCAGCCCTGCCCATTGAGGAGATCTGCTCCGCAGCTATTTGGAGCCGTCCGAGTACGTTCGTCCGTCATTACCAACTTGACAGACTCTCCAGTGAGCGTGCTCGGTTCGGTCAGTCTGTTGGCATGGTTCCACCTCTCTAGCCGATTGAGCTTTCGAGGTTTTTATTATGTGAACCATTATATGCCGATTTTTTAACACTGGTGTTGGGTTTTACAAATCTTGTTTACATATCCCCTTGGTGATGGGTTTTATGTGGTGATGTTTTTTATTCCCATGTCTTTTGCATTCTGCTCTAGACTTACTGACCTTGGAAACTTTGCTTGATATATATATTACGGTATTTTGTTTCTGGCGGCTTATTGAGGGACCCCTTATCTTCGCTTCCGATTGATTACGGTAGGGAGGGAGGGTTTATCTCGTTTGTTTGCATTAGCGAGGTTTCGCTGGGCAAATTATAATATGTTCGACCCTGACCCAGGCTCATGCCCCCGCCTGATTGGCTATGGTGGACACGTGACCGGGTAAATGCGCTTTTTCTGCTATATTTAGCTTGGGAAATTCCACTTCTTGTCGGGGGTGTTTTCTGCAGACAGAATGCCACTCCTTAGCTCCGTCTTTAGGAGTCTGTCTTATGCTTATAAGTACCCCAAGGAGAAATATATAAAAAAGAATCGAACTAACCTATAGAGGTTTCAGATTCTTTGAATATATTCCTCCTTGGGGTACGCCCCCCCACCTCCCCACATTCTGTCTGATGTCGTTCAGCATGGAAAGTGAGGTACAAGGTTATGGTCTAGAGTTATCTGCTCTCGGCTGTAGGGGGCCGGAGGGACCTGTAAGGGTGGTCTCACAAGACAAAACATAGTTTTTGTTTTGTAAATATTTTTATTCAAATATTGTTACAACTGTCGTAGGGATTTTAAATGGACATTTAAATGCTTATAAGTACCCCAAGGAGGAATATATTCAAAGAATCTGAAACCTCTACAGGTTAGTTCCAATTTATGGCTAGGGCGATTGTTATTTTTATGGTGATGATTTTTATTGATAAGCATGTACAATGTGACTGCCCCCCTAAAATTCATGTACAAAGTAAGTGACCCCCCTGCATGTCATGTACAAACTCAATTACTCCCCCTTCCAATATTTTTTACTCATAACTTTAAAATATTTTTATGTACAAAATTGAGGACCCCCCTAGTACATGTGTGTACACACACACACACACACACACACACACACACACACACACACACACACACACACACACACACACACACACACAAAAAAAATTTATTCCCCCCAAAATGATGTATTTAGGTTACAGTATTTAATTAAAAAGTTTGAATGTTGCATTGAATTGACTCTTGTGCCCTCTCTCAGACAAACATTATTTCAAGCAAACTCCACAGAGTTATGTCCCTTGGGGCACTCTTTACGAATATTACATAAACCCTGTAGAGACAGTTCTCAGTCCTAGACAAAATGACGCTCATGTCTGGTGCAAAAACATATGCACAGCTTGTGATTAAAATTAGTTTGGCAAACACCGACAAGACCGAGTGCAACATTTTTCGGAGCAACTGTTAATCTTCCATATATGGCAAGTGTTTTCTGTTTGGAAGCTGTTCGCCTCGAACTTTCAATTAATGATTTCAAACAAGTCATAAGGGATAACAGTCTTTTAGCGCATCAGGAGGAAGCTAAAGTGGATATGCCCCAATATATAATTATAATATAGGCCAAAATATTGTCGAAAATGCGATATTATGCCTATAAGCTAGCTGACAAAACGAACTGATTTATTTTTGTTCAAACAGGACCAGCTACAATCTAGTCCTCTAATAAATATATTTCTATGGCTGAATAATGGTTTATTGTTGTTGTTGATGTTGCTGTTAGCGCAACATCTGCAAAGGTCGTCAGGAGGGTCTGGACAACATGATCCGCAACACGAAGAAGGAGTTGCAGACCGACATGTTCAAGGACGCTGGGTCCAAGTATCGTGACATGATGATCCAAATGAGGGTAAGGTCAACTACCAAGTATTTCGAGCCACAGTGAACTTAGACATAATGTTTCTGAAAGAAATTATAGTGTAGATCTTTCCGTGTTATTCTTCACATAGACCGCCTCCGTGGTGTGGTGGTTAGACCGTCTGCCAGGAGAGCGGAAGGTCGCGGGTTCAATCACTAGTCATACCAATAGGGGTTATAATATGGTACTTGTTGGTCCCTACCTGGCGCTTGGCATTAATTGGTACAACAAGGACATGTCAGCTCGGAGTCAGTATAATGTGTCTGAGTGGGGTATTCATGCTTCACTGCGGCATGGTATTTCAGTGGGTTAGCGCTATAAAACCAGCTTCAGTCTGGGCTAGTACAAGCAGCCACAGATACACATGCATACACATCGTCTTATGAGCGAAATATTGTAAAGTACGGCGTTAAACCCCATTTCACTTCACCTATTCTTCACATACCCCAAATTTCAAATATTATATCATATTTTAAATAACAAAAAACAAGATGAAAGGGAACAAGACTTTACAGATAATTAAGTCCTTATGTACTCACAGACATTACAAAATGCCGATTTCAAACGTAAATCCTCCACACACTGAAAGCAAATGGTGGTTCCCTTGTATTCTCTGTTCCCTGTTTGCTGATTCAGCAATTTATATTTACAGACAACTGAGCTGGCCAACAGTGACCTGGAGAAGTACTACAGAGCTATGGACAAGTAAGTTGAAACTTTCATGTAATTCTTCAAAGGCATTAGAAGTTGGTGCTGTAATACAAGACAAATTTTATAGATAACATCTTTATTGTTTCTCACAACGTTTCTGGGCTAATTCTTTATCCACCTGAAGAAGGGGCAAGAACTAGACCCGAAACGTCATGAGAAACAAATAAAGAAGTTGTTAGGGACCGTTCATAATTTATGGCAAGGGGGTGATTATGATTTATATTCAGAAGCATGTACAATGTGAATGAACCCCCCCCCTCCCCCTCCCAAAAATTATGTACTAAGTAAGTGAACCCACCTGCATATCTTGTACAAAATCAATGACCTCCCATATTGTTTAAGCATAATGTTGTATTTTTATGTACAAAACTGCTGACCCCCCTTCCTTGCCAGAACAAAATGGGTGACCCCCTCTTAAAATCATCATCACCCCCCTAGCCATAAGTTATGAACGGTCCCTTATCCATAACATTTGTCTTTTATTACTTTCATGTACCTCTCGTAAGGCATCACAGAACACCAGATGTTTTCATTATGACAAGTGTTCAACTGTTATAGTTGGTGATTGTTGCAACACACATCCTTCCAATTGTTCTGTACTGTAACTGGCTTTGTCATCATCAATGATGGGACATTTTGTCAGGGGAGACAACTCTAAACTAATTCTGCGTGTGTGTTACCACCCACACAAGGCCAAAGGTCAGAGGACCTACTGTGATATTGGTGATTAGCATGAGAGCATGCAGTGTTGTAAGGTCATGTTGTCAAGGTTCCCATGGCAACCTGATGTCATAAACATGTCTAAAACTTTTAACATCCATGGTTTGCGGAGGAGATTTGAACATTTAAAGACAAGGGTTGATATATGTCATAGGGTGAGATTCTGTTTATCATCCAAAATCATTCTTCCATATTCAGTTTGTAAATAGTAATTACCAGTGTCTTGAGTGAGTTTTAGTTTTATGCTGCTTTTAGCAATATTCCAGCAATATCACGGTGGTTGACATCAGAAATAGGCTTCACACATTGTACCCATGTGGGGAAGCGAACCCGGGTCCTCGGCATGACGAGGAAATGCCCTAACCACAAGACTATCCCACCACCCCTTGCAAGCTATGATCAAGCAAATTGATCACTTATCCAAGGCAACCTCAGAAAGTGATTGAAAGCGACTGAAAGTTACTTCTCCGTTGTAAGGCAAATTGCTGTATATTGCTTGCAAGAGATGGGCTGTTTGCAGCACACCCCTAACCAGCGAGAGATTATCGCCAGTGATGACATATTGACTCATATGGACAAGCAAGAGGTTGTGCTGCTAGTACTCCTCGACCTTTCAGCGGCTTTCGACACCTTTGACCACACCATTCTACAGCAGAGGTTAGAGCACACTATTGGCATCACAGGAACGGCATTACAATGGTTCCAGTCCTACATGTCAAATAGAACAATGAGAATCAAGGTCCAAAATGCGACTTCATCCATCAGAGAAACCCACTTTTGTGTACCACAAGGCTCTGTGATTGGTTCGATTTTGTTTTCACTGTACAGTCTTCCAATAGGTAATATCATCCGAAGTCACAACGTAAAATTCCATGGTTATGCAGATGATAACCAACTCCACATAGGAATTATACCAGCTAATGTTGAACACGCAAAAGATGTTATGGAGAGCTGTATTGCTAACATCAAGATATGGATGACAAACAAATTTCTGAAACTCGACGACAAATCTGAGTCCATGATTATTGGAACTAGGCAGCAGCTTCGCAAAATAGGCGAGTGTAGTCTCACAGTTGGAGATCAGTCTATCTGCCCTGTGCCCAAGGTGAAGAATCTTGGTGTTGTTTTCCGTTCTTCAATGTCACCAGAATCACAAGCCCTAACAGCAGCAAGATCATCAACCTTTCATCTCCGCCCAATAGGAAAAATCCGCCGCTATTTGGACAACCAAGCTTTTATTACAGTCATACGTCATCTCACGCCTAGACTACTGTAACTCCCTTGTGTCAGGAGCAGCAGCAATCCAACATCTCCAGCTTGTACAAAACAGAGCTGCCAGGATCATATCCAGGACAAAATGTCAGGAACACATCACCCCTGTGCTGAGGTCGTTTCACTGGCTCCCAGTAAAGAGGAGAATACAGTACAAAATAATTTGTATCACCTACTCAACCCTCTATGACATCAATTCACCAGATTACCTCAAAGACATCATCGAAATCTATCGTCCAACTCATGTCTTGAGGTCTGAGAAAAGAGGCAGCTTGAAAATGCCAGCTACAAAAACATCCATGGGAGACAGAAATTCAGTGCTGCTGCACCAGCTTTGTGGAACTCTCTGCCAGTTAAACTGAGATTAGTATCTTCCTTGAAAGCATTTAGGAGCCAACTAAAAACTCATCTCTTTCTAGCTACCTACTAGTTTCTCCACTTTCTCTGCACAGCGCCACTGAGCAGCACTGGCAGGACATTAGGCGCTTAAACAAATTCACTATTATTATTATTATTATTTCACAATGGTCTGCTCAGTATTGTGGTGATATTTCATTGCAGCAATATTGCCTGGGATGAAATATTGATGTTGATATGTCTGGCCTTAAAGCAATCTTCTGTAGGTTCTGTCGGATTTATTCAAAAGGCTGTCAGAATCACACTGATCGATATTCTAGCATATTTCACACAGCACATAGATCATTTGGGTCGGTGGGGTAGCCTAGAGGTTAATGCGTTCACTTGTCACGCCGAAGACCCTGGTTCATTTCCCCACATGGGTACAATGTGTGAAGCCCATTTCTGGTGTCCCCTGCAGTGATATTGCTGGAATATTGCTAAAACTCACTCACTCACTATTATTGTATGAGCTCCATCTAAGTTATGTCGGTTGATGATGGTGTTCCAGGGCCATCATGAACTACCATGTCCAGAAGATGGACGAGATCAACAAAATCATCCGGGAACTGTGGAGGAACACGTACCGAGGAAACGGTGAGTGGGTGGGGAACTGCGGAGGAACACGTACCAAGGAAACGGTGAGTGGGTGGGGAACTGTGGAGGAACACATACCGAGGAAACGGTGAGGATGTGGGGGGATTGGGGAGGATCACGCACCGAGGAAACGGTGAGGGGGTGGGGAACTGTGAAGGAACACGTATCGAGGAAACAGTGAGGATGTGGGGGATTGGGGAGTAACATGTACCGAGGAAACGGTGAGGGGTGGGGAACTGTGGAGGAACACGCATCGGAGGAAACGGTGAGGATGTGGGGGATTGGGAGGATCACGCACCGAGGAAACGGTGAGGGGTGGGGAACTGTGGAGGAACACGCATCGAGGAAACGGTGAGGATATGGGGGATTGGGAGTAACATGTACCGAGGAAACGGTGGGGGGATTGGGGAGGAACATGTACAGAGGAAATGGTGAGGATGTGGGGGATTTGGGAGTAACATGTACCGAGGAAACGGTGAGGGGGTGGGGGATTGGGAGGAACATGTTCCGAGGAAACGGTGGGGGATTGGGGAGTAACATGTACCGAGGAAACGGTGAGGATGTGGGGGATTGGGGAGTAACATGTACCAAGGGGGTGGAGGAACACTACACGAGGAAACGGTGAGGAGGATGTGGGGGATGTACCGGGGAGTAACATGTACCGAGGGAAACGGTGAGGTGGTGGTGGAGGAACATGCCGAGGAAACGGTGAGGATGTTGGGGGATTGGGGAGGAACACATACCGAGGAACTGGTGAGGGGTGGGGACTGTGGAGGATCAAGCACCGAGGAAACGGTGAGGATGTGGGGGATTGGGGAGGATCAAGCACCGAGGAACTGGTGAGGGGAGGGGACTGTGGAGGATGACGCACCGAGAAACGTGAGGGTTGCAGAGGAACAAGCACCTTTAGGGTGAGAATGGGGGTGCATGGAGGAACTGGGGAGGGGGGGGGAGAGAGAGAGAGGTTAAATAGTGGAGGAACACCTGTAGAGGAGAGGATGGTGAAGGAACACCTGTTTAGGTAAGGGTTTAGGGTTGGTGGAGGAACACCTGGAGAGGCGAGGATGGAGATGGTGGAGGACCACCTATTGAGATAAGGGTTTGGGGTTGGTGGAAGAACACTTGTAGGGGTGAGGATGGTGGAGGAACACCTGTAGGCGTGAGGATCGGGGGTTGGAGGAACACCTGTATAGGAGAGAATGTGGTGGTGAAGAAACACCTGTTGAGGTAAGGGTTTGGGATTGGTGGAACACCTACTGTAGAAGTGATTAGGAATGGAGAACAAGGGCAGGGAAACCATAAAAGGCATGGAAATGGTGAGGGGGAGGGGTCAGAGATCCTGACCATCACAAAGGGATGCAACTCTTCATGACAAGTTACCACCAGACCAGTAAAGAAGTGAAAATGTTGGTGGTTAATTTATCAGGAATTTTGGAGTGAAATTTGAAAAATATTTTAATGTGCAAAGTAACTGTAGTTAAATCTCAGCAGAGGTAGTGGTGATTAACACGTACACAAACCTTGTGAAAACCATTGCAGATTCACCATGTTAACTACTCCTTGTATGATGAATAAAGAAAGATTTTGATTAGATTTTGTTGAACAGATTCACAAAGAAAGGTCAAATAAAGGGGCTGATCAGTAATTAGGAGGGGATGGGATGGAAAATGACACAGTTAAGTAGGTAGGTGCCAAACTTAATCACAACTCTTTGTGGAAAAATGAAATACATGAAATAATGACAGTTATTGTTTTTAATGAAAATATATATATTTGATTGTTATTTTGGGATTTGTCTTTTATAGGGTACCTGAATGACTAGTCTCTGAGTCTATGATCCAGCAGTTAGGTTGTGTGATCTAAAAGACGTAATCTCTGCCATCAAGTTATAGAAAAGATACTGCAAGAGAAAGAATATCTAAGAGTTCAAAGAGCCATCATCATATCATGTCGACGTCTGTTGTAGAAATAACAGGGTGGTGAGAACAAGAATGGAACATATTCAATACTGCATTTCAGATATTGAAACAATTGAGATTCGTTCTGATGACGAGGACGGCGCTGCCCTGAAGTCCCGCCGCATCTACCACTACCGTGTGGTGATGATCAAGGGGGACACTGCTCTAGATATGAGAGGCCGGTGCAGCGCTGGACAAAAGGTGAGCACTCCCACATCCTCCACCCTCTTGTAGCTTGCACCGTGTCTGACTTGTTATAAAGCCACAATGTCTGGCTTGTTATAAAGCCACAATGTCTGACTTGTTATAAAGCCACACTGTCTGACTTGTTATAAAGCCACACTGTCTGACTTGTTATAAAGCTACAATGTCTGACTTGTTATAAAGCCACAATGTCTGACTTGTTATAAAGCCACAATGTCTGATTTGTGCAGAAAGCCACTATGTCTGACTTGATATAAAGCTACTGTCTAACTTGATATAAAGCAAATGTGTCTGACTTGTTATAAAGCCACAATGTCTGACTTGTTATAAAGCCACAATGTCTCGCTTGTTATAAAGCCACAATGTCTGACTTGTTCAGAAAGCCACAATTTCTGACTTGTTATAAAGCTACAATGTCTGACTTGTCATAAAGCCACCCTGTCTGACTTGTTATAAAGCCACACTGTCTGACTTGTTATAAAGCCACACTGTCTGACTTGTTATAGCCACAATGTCTGACTTGTTATAAAGCTACAATGTCTGACTTGTTATAAAGCCACCATGTCTGACTTGTTATAAAGCCACAATGTCTGACTTGATATAAAGCCACAATGTCTGACTTGATATAAAGCTACAATGTCTGACTTGTCATAAAGCCACCCCGTCTGACTTGTTCAGAAAGCCACAATGTCTGACTTGTTCAGAAAGCCACTGTCTAACTTGTTATAAAGCCACAATGTCTGACTTGTTCAGAAAGCCACAATGGCTGTATATATTTTCTGGTATTTGGGGTATTTGCCACTATAGTACATTGTTTCCTGTGTAGTATAGATATTTTTCGTGCATGTAACGTATTGAACATCAAGCTTCTGTATCCAGGTGTTGGCATCCCTGATCATCCGTCTGGCTTTGGCGGAAACGTTTTGTGTCAACTGTGGAATTCTGGCCCTGGATGAACCTACAACAAACCTGGACAGGGAGAACATAGAGAGTCTGGCTTACGCTCTCGTCTCGTGAGTAGAAGGACATAGAGAGTCTGGCTTACGCTCTCGTCTCGTGAGTAGAAGGACATAGATAGTCTGGCTTACGCTTCGTTTCGTGAGTAGAAGGACATAGAGAGTCTGTCTTATGCTCTTGTCTCGTGAGTAGAAGGACATAGATAGTCTGTCTTACGCTCTTGTCTTGTGAGTAGGAGGATATAGATAGTCTGTCTTATGCTCTCGTCTCGTGAGTAGGAAGGTATAGAGAGTCTGGCTTACGCTGTTGTCTCTTGAGTAGAAGGACATAGTTAGTCTGTCTTATGCTGTCGTCTCGTGAGTAGGAAGATATAGAGAGTCTGGCTTATGCTCTTGTCTCGTGAGTAGACGGACAAAGAGAGTCTGTCTTACGCTCTCGTCTCGTGAGTAGAAGGACATAGATAGTCTGTCTTACGTTGTCGTCTCGTGAGTAGGAAGATATAGAGAGTCTGTCTTACGCTGTCGTCTCGTGAGTAGGAAGATATAGAGAGTCTGTCTTACGCTGTCGTCTCATGAGTAGGAAGATATGGAGAGTCTGTCTTACGCTGTCGTCTCATGAGTAGGAAGATATGGAGAGTCTGTCTTACGCTGTCGTCTCATGAGTAGGAAGATATGGAGAGTCTGTCTTACGCTGTCGTCTCGTGAGTAGGAAGATATAGAGAGTCTGACTTACGCTCTCGTCTCGTGAGTAGAAGGACATAGGGAGTCTGACTTACGCTCTTGTCTCGTGAGTAGAAGGACATAGGGAGTCTGACTTACGCTCTTGTCTCGTGAGTAGAAGGACATAGAGAGTCTGTCTTACGCTCTTGTCTCGTGAGTAGAAGGACATAGATAGTCTGTCTTACGTTGTCGTCTCGTGAGTAGGAAGATATAGAGAGTCTGTCTTACGCTGTCGTCTCGTGAGTAGGAAGATATAGAGAGTCTGTCTTACGCTGTCGTCTCGTGAGTAGGAAGATATAGAGAGTCTGTCTTACGCTGTCGTCTCATGAGTAGGAAGATATGGAGAGTCTGTCTTACGCTGTCGTCTCGTGAGTAGGAAGATATAGAGAGTCTGTCTTATGTTGTCGTCTCGTGAGTAGAAGGACATAGATAGTCTGTCTTACGTTGTCGTCTCGTGAGTAGGAAGATATAGAGAGTCTGTCTTACGCTGTCGTCTCATGAGTAGGAAGATATGGAGAGTCTGTCTTACGCTGTCGTCTCGTGAGTAGGAAGATATAGAGAGTCTGTCTTACGCTGTCGTCTCATGAGTAGGAAGATATGGAGAGTCTGTCTTACGCTGTCGTCTCGTGAGTAGGAAGATATAGAGAGTCTGTCTTATGTTGTCGTCTCGTGAGTAGGACGATATGGAGAGTCTGTCTTACGCTGTCGTCTCGTGAGTAGGAAGATATAGAGAGTCTGTCTTACACTCTTGTCTCGTGAGTAGAAGGACATAGAGAGTCTGACTTACGCTCTCGTCTCGTGAGTAGAAGGACATAGAGATTCTGGCTTACGCTCTCGTCTCGTGAGTAAAAGGACATAGATAGTCTGGCTTACGCTTCGTTTCGTGAGTAGAAGGACATAGAGAGTCTGTCTTATGCTCTTGTCTCGTGAGTAGAAGGGCATAGAGAGTCTGGCTTTCGCTCCGGTCTCGTGAGTAGGAAGAGATAGAGAGTCTGGCTTATGCTCTCGTCTCGTGAGTAGAATGACATAGTCTGGCTTACGCTCTTGTCTTGTGAGTAGAAGGACATAGATAGTCTGGCTTATGCTCTCGTCTTGTGAGTAGAAGGGCATAGAGATTCTGGCCTTCGCGCCGGTCTCATGAGTAGGAAGAGATAGAGAGTCTGGCTTATGCTCTCGTCTCGTGAGTAGAAGGACATAGATAGTCTGGCTTTTGCTCTTGTCTCGTGAGTAGAAGGGCATAGAGAGTCTGGCTTATGCTCTCATCTCGTGAGTAGAAGGACATAGATAGTCTGGCTTATGCTCTGGTCTCATGAGTAGAAGGGTATAGAGAGGCTGGCTTATGCTCTCATCTCATGAGTAGAAGGAAATAGATAGTCTGGCTTTCGCTGTCGTCTCATGAGTAGGAAGATATAGAGAGTCTGGCTTATGCTCTCGTCTCGTGAGTAGAAGGACATAGATAGTCTGTCTTATGCTCCGGTCTCGCGAATAGAAGGACATAGAGAGTCTGGCTTATGCTCTCATCTCGTGAGTAGAAGGACATAGATAGTCTGGCTTATGCTCTGGTCTCATGAGTAGGAGGACATAGAGAGTCTGGCATATGCTCTTGTCTCGTGAGGAGAAGGACATAGAGAGTCTGGCTTACGCTCTCGTCTCGTGAGTTGAAGGGCATAGAGAGTCTGGCATATGCCCTACTCTCGTGAGTAGGAAGATATAGAGAGTCTGGCTTATGCTCTCGTCTCGCGTGTAGAATGACATAGTTAGTCAGGCTTTCGCTGTCGTCTCGTGAGTAGGAAGATATAGAGAGTCTGGCTTATGCTCTCGTCTCGTGAGTAGAAGGACATAGATAGTCTGGCTTTCGCTCCGGTCTCGCTAATAGAAGGACATAGTAAGTCTGTCTGATGCTCTTGTCTCGTGAGTAGGAGGACATAGAGTGTCTGGCTTACGCTCGTCTCGTGAGTAGGAGGACATAGAGAGTCTGGCGTATGCTCTCGTCTCGTGAGTAGAAGGACATAGAGAGTCGGGCGTATGCTCTCGTCTCGTGAGTAGGAGGACAAGAATATTAGTGATAATGTTGAGGAACCCAACGTTTTGGAGACTCCGAAACATTGTGTTCCTTGTAATTAAAAAGTTGACATCCATAAAAACTCTCTTCCTCTCTGTGTATCACTTCTAGCAAGCCAGGAAGGACTATGAGTGGCACATTTTAGTATCATAGGGCAGTTAGTTTTGCTGACCCACAGCATCAAACGGAAAGAGGCATATTCCTTTTTTTAATTTCCACCCGTTGTCCAACTAGGAAGTATGTCAGTAAACATCTAATAATCCTGTTTCCTTAGTTCCCCTTTGTGGGTCAGTGTATGTCTATACTGTAAACCCTCTCATCCTTCATTCCATGTCGAATACAACACAGAACTTTATAATTCAGAAAGCACCAACACAGGATAACCTTTCTTCACACCTCATCCTACTTATCCAAAATATACATGCAAATGCTTTGATCTTTGGTAACAGATAGCCTTCCAGAAGCAGCTCTGGTTAACCACTTGCTTGAATTTCATGGCACAAAGCCTTCCAGAAATAGTTCTGGCTATTGGAGGGCAGGGTTTTACATGACGCGTGATTCCTGCGTATTTGACGCAACAATTTTGTGAAGCTCGACACAAGTTGTATGAGTTACCCTCACAATTCAGTTCAGAGTCAATAAAATCGATCTGATAAGCAAACAATGATAGTTTTCGTGAGGTCTTCATTAATATAGATTTTTCTTTCAGTTCATGTTAAAAACTGTATGTTACAGTGAACAAATCACAAGCCTGATTATTTGTTCAGTATAATGAAGTTTGTTTGTGAACTGAACTGTGAAAAATATACTGTTTATATGAATGAGAATACAACACAAAACAATAAAATCTTTGCTTTTTGATATACACACATAATTATTACGCTAAAATTTTAAATGACTCCCAAATATTGAAAATGACTCCCAAAAATAAATACTGTAGGTCACCATGGCTCTCTGTTTTCAAAGTCTGTGTAAAACCCTGGAGGGAGAAGCTAGTGAGTCTCCCTCTTTGTATGTGTTGTGCCCCAGCTGACAGTCGAGTCTGTTTCAGGATTATCAAGGCTCGGTCATGCCAGAAAAACTTCCAACTGGTCGTGATCACCCATGACGAAGACTTTGTGGAACTCCTTGGGCGGTCAGATTATGTGGATGACTTTTATCAGATGAGCAAGGACCAGTCGTACGTAGTATCTGTAGTCTTTTGTAAACAGCCAGCACTGATTCACAAACAGTAGGACAACATTGTCTCAGAAATGCAGCATGTTGATATTGTCTTAAATATCCCTACTACATTTTCTCATAAGCAGTTATACTCTAAAACAGTTCATTGTCTCACAAACACTGCATTGTCTCACGAATATATCAGTGTCTCACAAATATAACGTCTCACAAGCAATTCATTGTCTCACAAATATACCATTGTCTCACAAACACATCATTTTTTCACAGATATATATCATTGTCTCACAAACACTTCATTGTCTCTCAAACACATCGGTGTCTCTCAGAAACACATAATTGTCTCACAAATATACCATTGTCTCACAAACACATTGTCTCACAAATGCTTCATTGTCTCACAAATAAACCATTGTCTGACAAACACATCAGTGTCTCACAAATACAACATTGTCTCACAAATATATCATTGTCTTACAAACAAATCAAGGTCTCACAAATATACCTTTGTCTCACAAACACACCATTGTCTCACAAATATAACATTGTCTCACAAGCACATCATTGTCTCACAGATATACCATTGTCTCACAAACACATCATTGTCTCACATATATATCTCATTGTCTCACAAACACTTCATTGTCTCACAAACACTTCATTGTCTCACAAACACATCATTGTCTCACAGGTATATCATTGTCTCACAAATATAACATTGTCTCACACGCACATCATTGTCTCACAAACACTTCAGTGTCTCTCAAACACATCAGTGTCTCACAGATATATGTCATTGTCTCACAAACACTTCATTGTCTCTCAAACACATCAGTGTATCACAGATATATCATTGTCTCAGAAACACATCATTGTCTCACAAATATACCATTGTCTCACAGGTATATCATTGTCTCACAAACACTTCATTGTCTCACAAATATATCATTGTCTCACAAACACTTCATTGTCTCTCAAACACATCAGTGTCTCACAGATATATCATTGTCTTAGAAACACATGATTGTCTCACAAATACCATTGTCTCACAAGCACATCATTGTCTCACAGGTATATCATTGTCTCACAAACACATCATTGTCTCACAAACACTTCATTGTCTCACAAATATACCACTGTCTCAGAAACACTTCATTGTCTCACAAACACATCAGTGTCTCACAAATATATCATTGTCTCACAAACACATCAGTGTCTCACAAATATATCATTGTCTCACAAACACATCAGTGTCTCACTAGTATATCATTGTCTCACAAACACTTCATTGTCTCACAAATATATCATTGTCTCACAAACACTTCATTGTCTCTCAAACACATCAGTGTCTCACAGATATATCATTGTCTTAGAAACACATGATTGTCTCACAAGCACATCATTGTCTCACAGGTATATCATTGTCTCACAAACACATCATTGTCTCACAAACACTTCATTGTCTCACAAATATACCACTGTCTCAGAAACACTTCATTGTCTCACAAACACATCAGTGTCTAACAAATATATCATTGTCTCACAAACACATCAGTGTCTCACTAATATATCATTGTCTCACAAACACATCATTGTTTCCCAAACAATTTTTTTTACAGAGGGTATTCCTGCATCACCAAGTCTAAAGTACAGAATCTACATCGAGGCTAAGGCACAACAGGGTAGTGCTACTCCACCAAGACAAAAAGCACAAATGATGTGAAACGTATCTATTGTCAACACCCTCTCTGTCAACATGCATCACTGTACACATTATCTTGTGTATACAGCATAACACTTTGTCTCTCATCAACCATGGCATCTGCAGACTGATGGGTAATATCACCGACATAAGTGATACACACAACGCAGTGAAGGTTCGTCATTATACTTCTCCTCCCATCAAGTTTGCCAGAAAGGGCAAGGGAAATCTTTCACAAATGGGGGTGGTAATCAGCAATTCTGCAGATATGAATGCCAGCTGCGGAACCACACCTCCATGCTCCTGTATGTGATTTTGCTATTGACTGGCACAGAATTCCCGAGTGTCACATAATATTGTCACTCACATTATTAAATTTGATTGATCTGTGTTCAAATCAATTAGTTAAAAGAGAGTTATTAGTAATTTGTTATTTCATTAGTTCATTTATGTTTTCAATCACTTATTTTGTTATAAAATTATATATACTGATATACATTCTGGTTCTGTGGTTCTTTTTATGAGTGTTTATATTTCCCTTACAAGACATGCCTATCCTGCTGTCATTACCATCCTTCTACAATACTACAAGAGAACTACAGTATTGAGTGAGTATGGTTTTAAGCTGCTTTTAGCACTATTCCAGCAATAGGGACATCAGAAATGGGCTTGACACATTGTACCAAGTGGGGAATCAAACCTGGGTCTTCAGTGTGCCGGACACTTCAACCACTAGGCTACCCCACCGCCCCAGTGACTGCCTCCGTGGTGTAGTGGTTAGAACGTCCACCCGGAGAGCAGAAGGTCGCTGGTTCGATCCCCGACCGCATCATACCAAAAGACGTTAAAATATGGTATTTGTTGGTCCCTGCCTGGCGCTCGGCATTAATGGGTACAACAAGGACTGGTCGGATCGGAGTCAGTATATGTGTCTGAGTGGGGTATTCATGCTTCACTGCGGCATGGTATCTCAGTGGGCTAGCACTATAACACCAGCTTCAGTCTGGGCTAGTACAAGCAGCCGCACATACACATACACATACACACGCATGTCGTCATATGAGCGAAATATTCTCAAGCACGCTGTAAAACCCAATTTCACCTCACCTCACCCACCGCCCCAGTACTGAGTCTGCATAGTAGACATTATATAGCAAAAGTGTGATTTTAATTAAATAAATAGAAATACTGACTGCTCAAAAGTTGATCAATTTAGTTATACCATAATCAATCAAATTACTTTACTTATTATTATAATATTGTGCAATGCAGGTTATATATAAACTATATATTGGTAAAATAAAAACGTATATGAAAGCTCATAATGATTGTAAAATGGTGTAACCATGTTCATTCTCAACTTACAAATTGACCCACTTTGTTCAGAAACTGGGCTGCGAATGTATGACGTCACTTCCGGAATGGAAGTAATTGCTGGCGTTTACAAAGGAAGCACACAACAATAACCCGAATACATCCCCTGGTCTTCCCTCACACTGCTCTTCCAGAGAATTCATACAAATGTACCAAAGGTCAACTTGTGCACTGTGTCATAAAAATGTTAAGTTTATTCAGTTTATACGCATAACACATTCATAAGCACTTGCGGGCGGTTAGGTAGCGTCACGCTGAAGACCGGGTTCGATTCTCGACATGGGTACAATGTGTCAAGGCCATTTCTGGTATCTCCCGACATGATATTGCTGGAATACTGCCAAAAGCAGCCTAAAACTAAACCCACTCACTCATAGGCACTTTAGATTAAAGAGACGTTGTGTTTAAGCTGTGATACCAGTTATTTTTATGTGTTTAGACCCTTTATGCATTAACGTAGAACACACCAAATTAATGTCTTCCGTCTGGATCATGCAATCGAGTTATCAACGGCATGAGCATCGAACTACGCAATTGGGATACGATGACCTGTGTCAACCACCCGATCCCGTTAGTTGCCTCTTACGACAAGCATGGGTTGCTGAAGATCAATTCTAACCCGGATCTTCACGGGTCCATCCACAATAGACGTTTCAAGAAGACACACATTGCAGCATGTGTTGTTGAATAGCTACAAGAGTGGAATAACATCCTTACACATCCCATGGAGACGTCTATAGTGTGTTTGCAGTGAAAACGTACCGATGACTTTTACTTTAAACAAAAAAGTAAATCAATAAAGTGAAATTAAGATTGCGAATCCTCATAATTTTACCTTGCCAATTAAACATTTAAATTTCAGAATTTTATTCAACTTAAGATGTAAGTTTAACAGACGATCATAGATTCAAATCGCTATTATTGGTTTGTATTACAAGGGAGTAAACGCAGTAATTGGAACAGTGATACAAACGCACGTGCAGTAGGTGATGAGCGTTAACTTGGACCAACCCTATTTGTTCTCGGTGTTTCATTTAATGTGCATACCCCCTTGTAATACAAACCAATAATAGCGATTTGAAACTATGATCGTTTGTTAAACAACTTTTATCCTAAGTTGAGTACAATTCTGAGATTTAAATGTTCAATTGGCAAGGTAAAAGCATGAGGATTCGCACTTCTAATTTCACTTTATTTGATTTACGTTTTTGTTTAAAGTGAAATTCATCGGTACGTTTTCACTGCAAACAGACTATACAGAAATAGTTCTGGTTTATTCCACGGGATGGCAGTGTCAGGCTGTCGGGAATTCAATGGCGGTCACTCACCACACTGAAGTGACAAGTCTAAGGCGTATGTAACCCTGTAGCATTGTCCCTTTGTAAATTTGGCCGATGGGATGCCTTATCATTGTAAACAAGCAACTTTAGGAAAGCATATCAAAATAATTCTGTGAAGAGATCTTTAAAGTTTGAAAAGAATATAAGAAAATGTACATAGAAGATATGGTATCGGGAGATTATCCCCCCTTTGTATCGGGTGCCTTGCCTCGCAATAGATCTCAAGTGATAACACAAACTTCACTCCATACTCGTTAATACATTAATATTTCAGTGAGTGAGTTTTACGCCACTTTTAGCAATTTCACAGCAGGAGACACCAGAAATGGGCATGAGGGGAATCGAACCCGAGTCTTCGGCGTCACGAGCGAAGGCTTGAACCACTAGACTACCCCACCGCCCCATTAATATTTCAGCTGTACGGTCGGTTTGTTAATAATCGATACATCATGACATCGATCTCCGGGATGCGACAAGCATGGATCCAACCAGTTTGAACTGGCTAGAAGGTGAGTGAAATAGTATGGTTGTACGCCGCTTTTAGCAATATTCCAGCAATATCACGGCAGGGGACACCAGAAATCGGCGCCACACATTGTACCAATGTGGGGAGTCGAACCTGGGTCCTAGGCGTGATGAGCGAACGTTTGAACCACTAGGCTACCCCACTGACCCCCTTGCTAGAAGGACTACACATGCCGAGTGGTGGACCAAACATTCAATATCACATCCTTGACGGATGCGGCCTCGAATCTGCTGTCCCAGTTTCCCTGTGACTCATCTTCAAAGAAATTAAGTATGATTAAAAGCCTATATTTGAAATTCATAGGAGTACATTTCCTGATATGGAACTTACACGTGGGTGTTTGCTTGTGGCGTAGAGGCCTGGGGACTTCCTCTAACTTGGAGTTGATAAATACCCAGAGTTTACTGATGGAAGAGCCATAATCCACCCAGTAACAAGTGTGGTTGGATGTGAGAGGTGCTGAAACCAATAGCTACAAGGCATTATCTCCACGATCTGTGGCAGCCTAGCTCATTGTCTAGACTGGTTTCAGCTGTTTTCTACAGATCTGTTTTAATCAAAATTCTCAGGGTCAAGAAAATATCATTTCTGACCAAGAAGCGACAAAGGTTCTCACTGACGTAGCTGATCCTAAATGTGCCTGTGGTACCTTGTAGAGGCATCAGTCTGAAGAATACGTTTTTGGTGATCACAGACAATGGCACCATTCCAGGAAGAATTGGAAATGACCCCCAGAGATTCTGCAGTGCTGGAGGTCACAAGTTCTCGTGCCTCCGAATGGTAAGTGTCACGCACTCAATGTATATATCACACAGAGGCTGTCTCTTCAAAGTGTTTACACCAAATCAGTATAGTGTGTCAGAGTGCTGTATCAATGGCATTTTATCTCAGTGGGGTACTAGCGTTGTTAATAGCCGGCGTTTTTCTGGATAAGTACAAGCACGCACGCACATTCATGCACATCGCTACACTGACTGACACAAATAAGTGAGGCTCTCCAAGATCACGTAGATCACAATGCACGTACACAACGTGCATGTCGCTATTTACCCAACGGCATGGTGTTGGACAGATATACTCGGATATTGATTTAAAACAGATATAGATCGTGGCAAGGCGTACAACTTCTACCATTTCTTGGGACATCTGATGTAATCAATAGAGGCGTTTTTTTTGTTTCTCAGACTCCATGCATATATCGCTGTAGCCTACATATATTTTCACAGTGAGTTTATGTAAAACCAGGGATACTCTACAACAGGGATAGGTCACTCGCTTGCTTTCTTTACCATTTGTACTAATTAACGTGTGCCTCGTCATGCTCCAACGCACACAGTGACTTGGTTCGGTCCCAGCGCAACTTCGGCTGCGTTTAACAGTACTTCAGCCAGTGTATTGTATAGGTCGGAATTTTACAATGAATGAATGAATGAATTAAGAGCAAGAATTTTATGTGAATGAATGAAAGAAATTAAGAAAAAGAACAAAAGAAAAAGAACATATGTGAATGAATGAAAGAATAAATGATACACCACGGCCATCCCTCCCCAAACATATTAAAGAACGCAAAACTATCGGTAGAACACATGTTAACATCAGCTGTCCTTTTTTAAAAAAATTACTTTGAGACATTGTTTTACATTAGTAACTAATTCAGATATCTTATTGCATGTGTGGAATGACATGGGCATTGACAGAATGTTAACTGACACTGTCACAGACCCCCTCAAGAACAGAAAGTTTAGAACTATCACAAAGCCTTGCAAACACCTTTCCAGTTTTGTCAAATACTAAGATCAACAAGAAAGAAAGAAGTTTTAGAACTATAACACTCAAGCATCACAAGCACCAATGGCGTATCGGAACAGATCGGCGATATGTCATATTTTTCACACACCTCAAATACACACTAAAAATAAATAAATTAAAACTATCACTATTACTTGCAAAAAACTTTCACCTGATGGTATATTCCCCTCATAAAAATTAAAGGTGTATGTGAAGATGTTTTTGAACACTAACTAGAAACACTCAAACAACGCCCTGTAGTATTTCAATGGCAGATCGGCGATATGTCATATTTTTTACACACCTCAAATACACACTAACAAATTTTTAAATTATAAAACTATTACTATTACTTGCAAACACCTTTCACCTGATGGTATATTCCCCTCATAAAAATTGAAGGTGTATGTGAAAGATGTTTTTGAACACTAACTAGAAACACTCAAACAACGCCCTGTAGTATTTCAATGGCAGATCGGCGATATGTCATATTTTTCACACACCTCAAATACACACTAACAATTTTTTTTAAATTATAAAACTATTACTATTACTTGCAAACACCTTTCACCTGATGGTATATTCCCCTCATAAAAATTGAAGGTGTATGTGAAAGATGTTTTAGAACAATAACTAGAAACACTCAAACAACGCCCTGTAGTATTTCAATGGCAGATCGGCGATATGTCATATTTTTCACACACCTCAAATACACACTAACAATTTTTTAAATTATAAAACTAACTATTACTTGCAAACACCTTTCACCTGATGGTATATTCCCCTCATAAAATTAAAGGTGTATGTGAAAGATGTTTTTGAACACTAACTAGAAACACTCAAACAACGCCCTGTAGTATTTCAATGGCAGATCGGCGATATGTCATATTTTTCACACACCTCAAATACACCCTAACAATTTTTTTTAAATTATAAAACTATTACTATTACTTGCAAACACCTTTCACCTGATGGTATATTCCCCTCATAAAAATTAAAGGTGTATGTGAAAGATGTTTTAGAACAATAACTAGAAACACTCAAACAACGCCCTGTAGTATTTCAATGGCAGATCGGCGATATGTCATATTTTCACACACCTCAAATACACACTAACAATTTTTTAAATTATAAAACTATTACTATTACTTGCAAACACCTTTCACCTGATGGTATATTCCCCTCATAAAAATTGAAGGTGTATGTGAAGATGTTTTAGAACACTAACTAGAAACACTCAAACAATGCCCTGTAGTATTTCAATGGCAGATCGGCGATATGTCATATTTTTTCACACACCTCAAATACACACTAACAATTTTTTTAAATTATAAAACTATTACTATTACTTGCAAACACCTTTCACCTGATGGTATATTCCCCTCATAAAAATTGAAGGTGTATGTGAAGATGTTTTGAACAATAACTAGAAACACTCAAACAACGCCCTGTAGTATTTCAATGGCAGATCGGCGATATGTCATCTTTTTCATACACCTCAAATACACCCTAACAATTTTTTTAAATTATAAAACTATTACTATTACTTGCAAACACCTTTCACCTGATGGTATATTCCCCTCATAAAAATTGAAGGTGTATGTGAAAGATGTTTTTGAACACTAACTAGAAACACTCAAACAACGCCCTGTAGTATTTCAATGGCAGATCGGCGATATGTCATATTTTTCACACACCTCAAATACACACTAACAATTTTTTAAAATTATAAAACTATTACTATTACTTGCAAACACCTTTCACCTGATGGTATATTCCCCTCATAAAAATTGAAGGTGTATGTGAAAGATGTTTTTGAACACTAACTAGAAACACTCAAACAACGCCCTGTAGTATTTCAATGGCAGATCGGCGATATGTCATATTTTTCACACACCTCAAATACACCCTAACAAATTTTTTAGTTATAAAAATATCACTATTACTTGCAAACACCTTTTAACTAAAGGTATATTTCCCTTCTAAAAATTAAACGAATATGTGAAAGAAGTTTTTAGCGATATAGTTTAGTCTTTCTTCGCTGTGTACTGAGAATTGAAGCCAGTGAGCTACAACATGCCGACTTGAAACTTTACTACAAATCTACGGTACTAATACTGACACTAATAACAATTATTTGACTTAAAATGAAGTGACAGAATAGGTGACTTATCTTCTACATGTAGGTTTTCAGTTGTCACAACACTCAACGTATGTAATCAGCGTATGCTAATCACGCTGCCATATTTGACGTGACGAAATAAACCGGGCTCAATCCCTGGTAAAACGTAAAAACTACGAAATCTATCAGACGGTCCTGTAATTGGTTAGCTCAAGGCACTGGTCACGACTGAGACAATTCCAAGAAGCATCTGCATGTGACCTTGTCCGCGATACGCTGTCTGAATGCAGGATTGACCTCAACTTCGGAGCCGTCTCGAAACATATTGTGGATTCGGAGTCAGTGAGTTTAGTTTTACGCCACACTCAGCAATATTCCAACTATATGGTGGCGGTCTGTAAATAATCCTGTCTGGACCAGACTATCCAGTGATCCAACAAATGAGCATCGATCTGCGCAATTGGGAACCGATAACATGCGTCAACCAAGTCAGCGAGCCTGACCACCCGATCCCGTTAGTTGCCTCTTACGACAAGCATACTCGCCTTTTGTGGCAAGCATGGGTTGCTGACGACCTATTCTACCCCGGATCTTCACGGGTCTGTGGATTCGGAAGTTAACTCGTGACCTACTCGTGAACGTACACAACACAGTGTACCACTGGTGGATATATATTATATTGACGTGTATTCACCGTCACCGGAAGTACATCATGGGTTTTCGCCAAATTTGCGGCTCTACGGAATTTACTACGAAGAATGCAAATACGATATTGTCTGATTATTTACAGACCGCCGCCATATAGATGGAATGTTGCTGAGTGAGGCGTAAAACACGCACGCACGCACGCACGCACACAGACACAGAACAAAGTTGATTTTAATGAGTTGAGTTTATGTCGAAATAATGCAGATCTAAAATCTCAGCCGATTACCACTTTGGTGAAACCCTTCAGCATAGGCATGGTGACGAAAACCCTAAAAACATAATTAGGAATAACTTGGGACTCGATACCAAGTTCACAGAATTCTGGCACAACTAAGGGAAGCAACTCTGCCCATAAAATCATGTTACAGTGGACATACTACAGTCCCAATTTCAATTAAGTCGGATTGCCTATGTTTTTCACAAGTCACTGTGCAAGGTTGTGTCTATTTGGGCAGACCAAGAACCTTCGGTCGTGGGTTCGACTCCCGGTACGCCCCGATCATGTATCTAGGTGCGTGTTCACCATACGGGAGCTCTAGGGTTTCACTGAAGTGGAAAGCATCTAAAACGTGCTTCGGACTTTCCTCCAAAATTAAGCTGCTAGTCGACCCGTGAAGATCTTGGTTAGAATTGATCTTCAGTAACCCATGCTTGTCGTAAGAGGCGACTAACAGGATCGGGTGGCCAGCTTCTCTGACTTGGTTGACACATGTCATCGTATCCAGATTCCGTAGATCGATGCTCATGCTGTTGATCACCTGATTGTCCGGTCCGGACTCGATGTTCGCCCCCATATAGCTGGAATATTTCAGAGTGCAGCGTAAAACTAAACTCACTCACTCACTGAGCTGCCAGCCTGTGCTATTACAAAAGTGCTGTTCAAAAAGGTTCCTATCATAAAAACCCAACGACACCACTCACTCCCATTTCACGTCAACCTGTCCGACATTTTACGTCAACCTGTCCGGAATCAGAACCAGTCTTGTTCCCGTGACCAGCTAACGCACCCTCCACTAAGCTAGATCACTCACCACTTAAACTTGTTCTCTCTGTCTATGGGTGGTGGGGGTAGCCTAATGGTTTAAGGGTTCGCTCGCCATCAGGCCCGATTCCCCACATGGGCACAATGTGTCAAGCTAATTGCTGGTGTCCCCCCGGCATGATCTTACTGACATATTGCTAAAGAGGGGTAAAACCACACTCACTCACTCACTCTTTATGTGCAGCCAACCAGACAGAGATGATACATTCGTCACCAACCTGGATGATGAGGATCCGGAAACCAACGATCCGGAAGTTGACGAACCGGACGGGAACCTGGTGAGTACAGGCGCCTCCATATACTCATAGTCATATGTAAAGCAACTAGGTCTTTCAGTCATTTTGCAAGCATATATTTCATGCTATTGTTATAGTCCATAGTGTTGAGTTTAATTCATGGACACTGTGTTGTCCGGACGCGGCTCTGACTGTTTGGAATGTTCCACTTTGGAAATCAGTACCTGATCTTCATCTTCAAGTCATTTAAAACTCCCTCCAAACATGTTATATTCACACAAATTACAAATGTTCCTTCATCAATAGCTAACAGTATATTATGAGTGTTTAAGTCATTTCTGAAGAGTGGGTTTATGATCGTTGTTGGGGCGTGATTATATTCGTTTTTATATTGTTTTTCGGGCTTATGTTGGGGTTGTTTTATTCCATTTTATTTTATTTTCTGTTTACTTGGTTTATTTGGTTTTATTTCGTTTTTTAATTTTTATTTTTTTTAAATATTATTATTATTTGTTTGTTTTTATTAAATCATTCCTTACCTTGGGGGCTCCGTGTAAGAATGTAGGTCCCATACATCTGCGTTTGTGGTAAGGGGCGACTTCATGTATCGGTTCGGTGACTTGGCTGCTTGTGTGCCTGCCTACCGTGGCCCACTATATCAATCACTCGTCAAAAGTGTGCAAAATAGCTTCCAAAGTTTGTTAGCCAATTGGGCTAGCTATGCCTGAAAGTTACTAGACCACACAGACCGCCTCCGTGGTGTAGTGGTTAGAGCGTTCGCCCGGAGAGCGGAAGGTCGCGGGTTCGGTCCCCGACCGCGTCAAAGCGAAAGACCTCAAAATATGGTACTTGTTGGTCCCTGCCTGGCGCTCTGCATTAATGGGTACATCAAGGACTGGTCGGCTCGGAGTCAGTATAATGAGTAGGGTATTCATGCCTCACTGCGGCAAGGTATCTCAGTGAGCTAGCACTATAAAACCAGCTTAAGTCTGGGCTAGTACAAGCAGACGCACATACACACGCATGCACGTCGTCATATGAGCGAAATATTCTCAAGCACGACGTTAAACCCAATTTCACCTACTCACTAGACCACACAAAATTTCACTAACCCGCAATCTGCACGTAGAAACTATGCAAAAGATTACAAAAATAGATGAGAATAAGATATTGTCGGCATGACATTGGTTTCATCTTAAGCTGCTAATATGATGAACATCTTATCAGGTCATAATCTTGCATGATTTAAAATTGTATTAACTTAACAAGTCAGAAAGAGTGATATATTTACAAAATGACACCATGAAAAAGTGACCATAGATATTTACTAGCCCGGCTGGAGTTTTACTAGCCACCGGCCAGCGGGCCAGTGGCTATTTCGCTTACTGCTTGTCCACACTCGTTTATGTACACGCTAACGTCTCATCTGGAATACGTGAAATGCGGTGCCAAACAACAAACAAATGGAAAGAAACAGACAAACGTATCAATCATTTCTAATCAGACTTTTCTAATTGTAGGTTACCAAAGCTGGGCCAGTAAACGAGTTTAGAGTTCGGAGGTCCACCGTCCAGAATATGCTTGACCTAGCTCTCGTTGCTGCCAACATTTCCCAGCTGAGGATTATTCTGACTGTAGGCCCAGGCAATCTGGACTTTTACTACTTAATGCTGTCGTGCGTGTGTCTCTCGCTTGGGTTTCAGGTGCTGTTTGCCATCATTATTTTAATTGTCAAGATCCGGGAAGATAAAATGAAATCAGTGTCGCGTGACCCGGAAGTACAAACGGAATCGAGACGACCGACACGAGACAAAGTGACTGACAGATTGAATTGCCTATCAATGGCACTAGTTTTGTTTGTGCTTCTGTTAAATATGGTCCTCAGTGGGTTCATCACTGTGAGAAAGAATTCACCTGCGGACAAAATTGGTGAAAGTTTTACCGTTGGTTTGTACTGATATGTTGATCAAACTGTACGTTTGAAATGGAAATGAGCTTTTTAACAATCCGATTGATTGTCAATAACATATATTTGAATGATAAAAATCAATATCACCTAATAGAGGAAGAAGTTGTCAAAGAACAGTTATTTAATCCCCATCATATTATATATGAGTAATTCGCTTAATAATATTTACAGATTGGAAGACTGATGTATGTATAAATTTTGTGACGGTACTGGTAGTAGTAGTAGTAGCAGTAGTACTAGTAGTAGTAGTACTTGTTGTACCTCTAGTAGTTGCTGTTTGGTTGGTTGGTTTTTTAACGCTGCACGAAGCAATAATCGAGCTATATGGCGGCGGTCTGTAAATAATCGGTGGAGTCTTGCAGTCTTGCAGTGAGTGTCTGAGGTTAGTTTTACACCGCACTCGAGTCTGGACCAGACAATCTAGTGATCAACATCATGAGCATCAATCTACGCAACTGGGATTCGATGACATGTGTCAACTAAGTCAGCGAGCCTGCCAACCCGTTAGTCGACTCTTACGACAAGCATGGGTTACTGCACATTAATTCTAACCCGGATCTTCGAGGGTGCCTTCTTGCAGGTTAGGAGCGAGTTGTGACGAATGGAACGAAAGATGAGAATTGTCTAACGAGCAGTCAGTTTGGTGGCTGTCTCACAAATATAACTACAAGAAGCGGTAGTAAAATATCATCTGTAATTATTGTGTTACACAAAGAAAGAAATTGGCATCAGGACGAAAGCCAAGTATGTGGTCACAGAGTGTCATAGTCATCCCCAGTGCTAGGAACATTACATACGATATTTTCTCAGGACATTCCCATCGTGGAGTATGTAGCACACAGAAAAACACTGATTTTATCTTGAATATCAGGCAGTGTGGTGTAATTGTATATTTTGATCAACACATCATCTCTTTCATTTCAATTGCAATATAGTCAATGCCAATGTCTCCACAAAAACAGGAATTCTAAAAAGTTATAAGAAATTAGGGACCGTTCATAAATTCTGCGTCACAGCATCCCATGTTCTATTCAAGTAGGCATGGGGCATACATTTGAACAAGATATCTATTACTACAGTCTAAAGGAGAGAGATTTCTAACAATTCTATGCATTCACAGTTCAGCATATTCAGTTATGATGGGGCTCAAAGCAAATCAGTACCAATTGAAAACAAAGCAAAATGCCCGTATGAATACAAATTGACTAGGAAACAAATCCAGGTTTCAAATCGCCCGCCATCTTGGCCGGCTTCGCGTCCACGATCTTCAACAATCAGTGCCACGCCGCAGCAGGCCGCCTCCCTGGCTGCAGCCATTAAGCGCACCAAGTTAATGTGTCTTTACCATGCCACTGGTCTCCTTCAGCTGAACAGAATGTGAACGAGGCCAACAACTACCTCCACAAAAAAACATCAAACAAGCAACAAATGCTTTTTGAATATATGAAAACCCAAACCGGTATAATGAGTGGATAGAAGACCCACCGAATTGAAAGAAAATTGAATGACCATACAATGATTATAATGAAATACGCTGACGGTGTGTCTCCTATTATTGAAATAAGCTTATGTATATGTGTATGTATGAATATTGATTGCAAATGGTGTATGGTTAACCAGATATTTATAAAAATATATTTTTTGTCAAATTGATTATTTGCCGATTTCTGTTGATTATATATCTTGTGTTTATGCATTTATTCTTTGCACCTGGAGTAGTATATTGGATAGTAGTACGTATTACCATATCATGAGTGGAGTAAATAAAACAACCTGAAGTAAATATACAATTAGAAATATATTTTCTGTTCTGCTTTGATGCGACCGTACACAAGAGCAAAACATGTTTTGTTTCCTTCATTGTTTAAGTCAGGACGGCGAATACCGCGAGTGTACAGTTATTCCACCCGATAATAAGTCGCCAAGAAGGAGGTGAGGTGAGGTGAAATTGGGTTTAACGTCGTGCTTGAGAATATTTCGCTCATATGACGACGTGCATGCGTGTGTATGTGTATATTATTATACTGACTCCGAGCCGACCAGTCCTTGTTGTACCCATTAATGCCGAGTGCCAGGCGGGAACCAACAAGTACTATATTGTAACCTATTCTTGTCGTAAGAGGCGACTAACGGGAACGGGTGGTCAGGCCCGCTGACTTGGTTGACACATGTCATGGTACCCCAAATGCGTAGATCGATGCTCATGCCGTCACTGGATTATCTGGTCCAGACTCGATTATTCACTGACCGCCGCTATATAGACGTAATATTGCTGGGTGCGGCGTAAAATTAGCGAGTGAGAGAACCGTCTGAAATGTTTTAACCTGGTTTTGATCAGACACTCAATCACCCAACGCTCAACAAAAAACTGAACAGAACAGAAGTTTATTCTCATAAAAATCACACAAAATGATATAGAGAACATACAGTGAGATTTAAAAAAGACACAAACATTCTTGTACAAATTTTGCTAATTTTAGTATAATTGGATTATAATTGGCACAGTTCGTGATGCATAAGATGGACAAATTTGGCAACAGTTGGATTTGAGTAGTAATATTCACGTAGATAGGTTTGACGGTGAGAAGAGAGTAATGGACAGCGAAGTAGAAAGTGGAATTCGTCACAGACATCTAAATTACATAATGTACAGCTTCTATACCCTTAATACATATATATCCATTTATCCAACTTCAATTGGAAATCTGTGATTACATAGGCGGATCCACAAGGGATGGTGCAGGGGTGCGCACCCCCACCCCCCTTTTGCCCTGAAAGTTTATTACATGACCATTGAAACTCGGGTGAAAATGAAATGTGCACCCTCCTTTTCTCAACATTGTGCACACCCCATTTCTCAATGTATATCAGTTTGATAGAAACAATAAATTGAAAAGGAGTCTCAGTAAGATTGGAGGTAAAGAACCTGGGGAAATCTAGACTTGCTTCATTTTGGGCCTCAGCATTGCATGCAGGAAGCCGGTTGGTCAGGAGGGACTGTGAGACGGATAGCCAGCCTTTGGATGATTTGGTTATAAATAGTACACTATTCCGATAGAAACAAAACAAGCATATGCATTAATCACAATTTGTATCGCTTAACCAAGTTCGGGGTGGTTTTATACTCTTATATCTTGTTAAAAGACAACAGGTTTTGTCTGCCAAATCAAGAAGCTACCAAAAAAGCTTCTAATCTAATTATATGGTCTCTGTTGCTAAACGCTAAACTATTATTCAGTACACTGAATAATTTACGCGTGATCACATGTTTACGTCAACTCGTAATAATCAGAAAGCCGCGACGAGATCGTTATATTGTTCAAACAATTCGTCCCCACTCGCCATTTTCCGTAACCTGCAAGGAGACATTCGTTGCCAGTATAGCTCCTGTCCGTACACACATTCATCACCACTCGTCCCTTTCCGTAACCTCGCTATTCGGCATGTCCCGGAATAACACGAGTTGGACACGAATGGAGTGGGTCGCGATGCATCATTGTCTCACAGGTATATCATTGTCTCACAAATATAACATTGTCTCACAAGCACATCATTGTCTCACAAACACTTCATTGTCTCTCAAACACATCAGTGTCTCACAAATATAACATTGTCTCACAAGCACATCATTGTCTCACAAACACTTCATTGTCTCTCAAACACATCAGTGTCTCACAGATATATGTCATTGTCTCACAAACACTTCATTGTCTCTCAAACACATCAGTGTCTCACAGATATATCATTGTCTCACAAACACTTCATTGTCTCACAAATATATCATTGTCTCACAAACACTTCATTGTCTCTCAAACACATCAGTGTCTCACAGATATGTCATTGTCTTAGAAACACATGATTGTCTCACAAACACATCATTGTCTCACAGGTATATCATTGTCTCACAAACACATCATTGTCTCACAAACACTTCATTGTCTCACAAATATACCACTGTCTCAGAAACACTTCATTGTCTCACAAACACTTCATTGTCTCACAAATATACCACTGTCTCAGAAACACTTCAGTGTCTCATAAATATATCATTGTCTCACAAACACATCATTGTTTCCCAAACAATTTTTTTTACAGAGGGTATTCCTGCATCACCAAGTCTAAAGTACAGAATCTACATCGAGGCTAAGGCACAACAGGGTAGTGCTACTCCACCAAGACAAAAAGCACAAATGATGTGAAACGTATCTATTGTCAACACCCTCTCTGTCAACATGCATCACTGTACACATTTTCTTGTGTATACAGCATAACACTTTGTCTCTCATCAACCATGGCATCTGCAGACTGATGGGTAATAACACCGACATAAGTGATACACACAACACAGTGAAGGTTCGTCATTATACTTCTCCTCCCATCAAGTTTGCCAGAAAGGGCAAGGGAAATCTTTCCCAAATGGGGGTGGTAATCAGCAATTCTGCAGATATGAATGCCAGCTGCGGAACCACACCTCCATGCTCCTGTATGTGATTTTGCTATTGACTGGCACAGAATTCCCAAGTGTCACATAATGTTGTCACTCACATTATTAAATTTGATTGATCTGTGTTTAAATCACTACGTTAAAAGAGAGTTATTAGTAATTTGTTATTTCATAAGTACATTTATGTTTTCAATCACTTATTTTGTTATAAAATTATATATACTGATATACATTCTGGTTCTGTGGTTCTTTTATGAGTGTTTATATTTCCCTTACAAAACATGCCAGGGCGGTGGGGTAGCCTAATGGTTAAAGCGTTAGTTCGTCACGCCGAAGACCCACGTTCGAATCCCCACATGGGTACAACGTGTGAAGCCCATTTCTGGTGTCCCCCGCCGTGATGTTGCGGGAATATTGCTAAAAGCGGCGTAAAACCAAACTCAGTCAGTCAGTTAGTCAGTACAAGACATGCCCATCATGCTGTCATTACCATCCTTCTAACGTGACTACAAGAGAACTACAGTATTGAATGAGTATGGTTTTAAGCTGCATTTTGCATTTTTACAGCAATGGGGACATCAGAAATGGGCTTGACACATTGTACCTATGTGGGGAATCAAACCTGGGTCTTCAGTATGACAAGCGGACACTTCAACCACTAGGCTACCCCACCACTCCAGTACTGAGTCTGCATATTAGACATTATATAGCAAAAGTGTGATTTTAATTAAATAAATAGAAATACTGACTGCTCAAAAGTTGATCAATTTAGATACCATATATATGCAGTTATAGGTCATTCAATAAATTACTTTACTTATTATTATGATATTGTGCAATGCAGGTTATATATACACTATATATTGGTAAAATATAAATGTATATGAAAGTTCATAATGATTGTTGAATGGTGTAACCTTGTTCATTCTCAACTTAAAAATTGACCCACTTTGTTCAGGAAATGGGGTGTGAATATATGATGTCACTTCCGGAATGGAAGTAACTGCTTGGCTTTTACAAGGAAGCAATAACAACAGTAACCTGAATAAATCCTTTGGTCTTCCCTCACATGGCCCTTTCAGAGAATTCATACAAGTGTCCCAAAGGTCAAGTAGTGCGCTGTGTCATAAGCACGTTAAGTTTATTGAATTTATTCGGATAACGCATTCATAGTGTTACGGTTAAAGGTCACATGCAACCGAAAAATCAAACATAATTAAAACACAATTATCACTTATTCATGACACATAATATACATTGCTGATTATGAAAAAACATATAAACAAAATTATAAGCATACAATCGCAAATCAAAAGTGCAATATGTTGTAGGTGGGTTTACTTCCCTAGAAACAAAGCAGCCGCGATACCGAACCCAGTCAGAGCCGGTGGGTGTGCACTCAAGTGTAACGGCTGGTTCATTTGCCGATTCCCTCACGGCTCATTGTGTGTGTATATATAGAGATGTTGGGTTTTGTAAATGCATGCTCATTTTTGGTGTATAACATTTGGCAATCAACAGGCATCATAACATGTCATGTGTTCAAGTATCACACCTGCATGTCTGTGTAATTACATAATGAGACCGTACACGGGCCATAAATCAATGTGTTTTGTTTATGGTGTATAGTCTGATAGGTTTTAAGTTCAAATTGCATGTGGTCAATGATCGAAGTTGTGTATTGAATATTGTCATTAGCAGATGGGTAGACAGATAGGTGTCAATAAAACACACTGAGTTTTGTCTGTGACGACATATCCATATCACAGTTAGAAATTCTGTCAACGCTAAATAATGACATTGCTTTTAAGTATCGAACTGAGAAAGTGACTCGGTAAGAAGAACATGTGGTGAAATAGACAAATGAAATTATATGAACAGTTAAATCGGTAATCTACCGTAATAAGATATAAAAACCTCGCGCCTGTGAAATATCAACAAAGCATTAGGAAAATAGCTCACACCAAAGCCTTCACCGAGTATTCCCCCGGACAACCCGCTTCCAAACTGCTCGAACTTATTTCACTGCACATGTGCTAGGAGCGCAGCCCAGCTGTTGAAACCACTTCAGTTCCCCCAAGCACTGAGGGAAAATTAGTGATCGTTTGAACCATGATTTCGCATGTTCTTTTTCATCGCGTTATTTTTCAACATTATAAGTTGAATTTGCATATTTGATGATTTGTTTCCGTAAGTCCACACCGAAAGGTATCAGAATCTTCAAAGTTGTGTTTTAAGTTGCATGTGACCTTTAAATAATTGTCGTGACAAAAGGTTTAAGAGTCCCCTTTGAACCAGCAAAATATAACACAGACAAGTCTAAAATATTCAATAATATATTGAACAAACAATAAGCAAGCTACAATGAATCACAATACATTTCTAGTTCAAAGTAATGGGTCACAAATATGAGTCACCTGAGTCTTGGCGTCACTGGGGCTGGTAACGCTAAAAACTTCCATCAAGGTATATGCTGTCACTGACGGGGTCTTTTATAAAGACCTAAGACCCCGTCAGTGACAGCATATCTATGATAACGGACCCTAGCGTTACTACAACCTGTGCTTGGCATTTACAATGAGAGCAGATATTCTTATTGAAGGTAGTTACAATGGGAGCATTCTGGCTCGCACAGATGATTGCAGACAGACGACGACGGTAGGCAGGTGACGGCAGAAAGATGTACACAAATCCAGGGATATGAAAAGACCCGTGTAATTCCGTGTGTGATTCCCCGTCTCGCACAACACAACAACCAGTCTTTATGTATATTGACGAAGAGACGAACATTCTTTGAGAACTTTCGCGAAACATGTTGAACGTACGACCGGTCAAAACAGAAATAAAGCCAAGGGAGGCAACTGTGGAGCGCTACCTCAAAAGGCCTACCACTAAACAAATACTATACCATTGACCATTCCTGATGCAAGATGTGAGGCGCAACCCATACTCAAAACTTTAAACATTGTGACCAAAAATACCTATCACTTAATCAATGATTTTACAAATTACAAAAAAAACCCACTCTCATAACAATAGGCACTTGCGGGCAGTTAGGTAGCCAGGTGGTTAAAGCGTTCGTTCATCACGCTGAAAACCCTGGTTCGATTCTCCACATGGAGAAAGCAGCCTAAAATTAAACCCACTCACTCATAGGCACTTTAGATTAAAGAGACGTTGTGTTTAACCTGTGATACGATAGTAATTTTTATGTGTTTAGACCCTTAACGTATTAACCTAGAACACACCAAATTAATGTCCTACGTTTGGTATTTAAGGACACTCTTAACATGTTAAGATCATGTATTAGCCTACATTCTAAACACTTCCTGCATAATTTTCTCATTCCATTGAACATGGTAAAACCCGACCACACTTTTTGGTTTATTTCGTGTATATTTTTTAACTGGACCGCGTTTAAGCGCAAATGAGGTGAGGTGAGGTGAAATTGGGTTGACGTCGTGCTTGAGAATATATAGCTCATATGACGACGTGCATGCGTGTGTATGTGTATGTGTATGTATGTGTCGCAGTGAAGCATGAATACCCCACTCAGACATATGATACTGTACCCATTAATGCCGAGCGCCAGGCAGGGACCAACAAGTACCACATTTTAACGTCTTTTGGTATGACGCGGTCGGGGATCGAACCCGCAACCTTCCGCTCCCCGGGCGGACGCTCTAACCACTACACCACGGAGGCGGTCCTTAAGCGCAAACGAACAAATAGCTGAAAGAATTGTCAACTCCTCCGTAAAACACATCAGGCCTATGTATCTTGGGTATGCGTTAAGACAAAGGGCTTGTGTTAAGTCAAAATTATTTCTGAAATATTCTTTGACCGAGGTACTTGAAGTCATACGCGCTTTCTGATTCTTTTGTTTAATTTTGCACGCAACGTTCTGTTCCATAACGGAATGTCGTCAGCCGAGTGACGGAAAATAGCGAGTGGTGACGAATGCATCTACAATAGTGAGCGAGTTCACTTTTACGCCGCACTCAGCAATACTCCAGCTATACGGCGGCGGTCTGTAAATAATCGAGTCTCGATCATACAATCAACTGATCAACAGCATGAGCATCGAACTATGCAATTGGGATACGATGACATGTGTCAACCAAGTTAGCGAGCTTTACCACCCAATCCCGTTAGTCGCCTCTTACGACAAGCATGGGTTACTGAAGACCAATTCTAACCCGGATCTTCTTGGGTCCATCCACAATAGACGTTGTAAGAAGTTACACATTGCAGGACCCGTTGTTGGATTGGAATAACACCCTCAGACATCCAATGCAGTCGTGGTTGATTCCACGGGATGGCAGTGTCAGGCTGTCGGGAATTCAGTGGCGGTCACACACCACACTGAAGTGACAAGTCTAAGGCGTATGTAACCCTGTAGCATTGTCCCTTTGTAAATTTGGCCAATGGGATGCCTTATCATTGTAAACAAGCTACTTTACTATATCAAAATTATTCTGTGAAAAGATCTTAAAAGTTTTAAAATGCGAGTATAAGAAAATATACACAGAAAATGTGGTATCGTGAGATTTGTATCGGGTGCGTTGCCTCGCAGTAGCTAGCAAGTGGACGCCATGAGGTGTCATGTCATTTCTTATGATAACACAAACTCACTCCATACTCGTTAATACAATAATATTTCAGTGAGTGATTTTTACGCCACTTTTAGCACTATTCCAGCAATTTCACAGCGGGGCAAACCAGAAATGGACTTCACACGCTGTACCCATGAGGGGAATCGAACCCGAGTCTTCGGCGTCACGAACGAACGCTTGAACCACTAGACTACACCACCGCCCCATTAATATTGAGGTGTACGATCGTTTTGTTAATAATCGACACATCATGACATAGATCTCTGGGATGCCATGACATCACGCCTCACACGACAAGTATGGATCCAACCAGTTTTAACTGGCTAGAAGGTGAGTGAATTAGTATGGTTGTACGCCACTTTTAGCAATATTCCAGTAATATTACGGCAGGGGACACCAGAAATGGGCGCCACACATTGTACCAATGTAAGGAGTCGAACCTGGGTCCTAGGCGTGAAGAGCGAACGTTTGAACCACGATGCTACCCCACCGATCCCCTGGCTAGAAGGACTACACATGCCGAGTGGTGAACTAAACATTCTATGTCACATCCTTGACGGATGCGGTCTCGAATCTGCTGTCCCAGTTTCCCTGTGACTCATCTTCAAAGAAATTAAGTATGCTTAGACGTCTATATTTGAAATTCATAGGAGTAATATTTCCTTATATGTAACTTACACGTGGGTGTTGGCTAGTGGCGTAGAGGCCTGGGGACTTCCTCTAACTTGGAGTTGATAAATACCCAGAGTTTACTGATGGAAGAGCCATAATCCACCCAGCAACAAGTGTGGTTGGATGTGAGTGGTGCTGAAACCAATAGCTACAAGGCACCATCTCCACGATCTGTGGCAGCCTAGCTCATCGTCAAGACTGGTTTCAGCTGTTTTCTACAGATCTGATTTAATCAAAATTCTCAGGGTCAAGAAAATATCAGTTCTGACCAAGAAGCGACAAAAAGTTCCACGTAGCTGATCCTAAATGTGCCTGTGGTACCTTGTAGAGGCGTCAGTCTGAAGAATACGTTTTTGGTGATCACAGACAATGGCACCATCCCAGGAAGAATTGGAAATGACCCCCAAAGATTCTGCAGTGCTGGAGGTCGCAAGTCCTCGTGCCTCCGAATGGTAAGTGTCACGCACTCACTGTATATATCACCCAGAGGCTGTCTCTTCAAAGTGTTTGTTCCAAGTCAGTATAGTGTGTCAGAGTGCTGTATCAATGGCATTGTATCTCTGTGGGGTACTAGCGTTATTAATAGCCGGCGCTTTTCTTAATAAGTACAAGCACGCATGCACGCACATTCATGCACATCGTTACACTGACTGACAAATAAATGAGGGTCTCCCAGATCATGTAGATCACAATGCACGTACACAACGTGCATGTCGCTATACACCCAACGGCATGGTGATGGACAGAGGTATACTCGGATATTGACTTTAAACAGATATGAAATCGTGGCAAGGCGTACAATTTCTGCTCTTTCTGGGAACATCTGTAGTCTACATATACTTTCACAGTGAGTTTATGTAAAACGTAATTAAGCGTGCCTAGTACCGAAATCTGTCAGACGTAATTGGTTAGTTCAAGGCTCTCGAGTGAAATCAAAGTCTAGACAATTCCAAGAAGCATCTGCACGTGGCCTTGTCCGCGATACATGCCTGTCTGTATGCAGGATTGACCTCAACTTCCGGTAGCCGTCTCGAAACATATTGTGGATTTGGAAGTTAACTCTTGACCTACTTGTGAACGTAGACAGTGTACCACTGGTGGATATATAGTATATGGACGTGTATTCACCTTCACCGGAAGTACATCATTGGTTTTCGCCAAATTTGTGGCTCACGCACACACACACACACACACACACACACACAGAGAGAACAAAGTTGATTTTAGTGAGTTGAGTTTATGTCACTTTAGTGAAACGCTTCAGCACAGGCATGGTGACGAAAACCCTTAAAAACATAATCAGGACTCAATACCAAGATCACAGAATTCTGGCACAACTAAGGGAAGAAACTCTGTCCATAAAATCATGTTACAGTGGACATACTACAGTCCCCGTTTAAATTAAGTGCCTGTTTTTCACAAGTCACTGTGCAAGGTTGTGTCCCTTCGGACAGACCAAGAACCTTCAGTCATGGGTTCGACTCCCGGTACGCTCCGATCATGTATCTAGGTGCGTATTTACCATACGGGGGCTTTAGGGTTTCACTGAAGTGGTAAGCATCTAATGCGTGCTTCGGGCTTTCCTCCCACATGAAGCTGCTAGTCGACCCGTGAAGATCTTGGTTAAAATTGATCTTCAGTAACCCATGCTTGCCGTAAGAGGCGACTAACAGGATCGGGTGGTCAAGCTCACTGACTTGGTTGACATATGTCATCGTATCCCGATTCCGTAGATCGATGCTCATGCTGTTGATCACCTGATTGTCCGGTCCGGACTCGATCTTCGCCGCCATTTAGCTGAAATATTTCTGGGTGCAGCGTAAAACTAAACTCACTCACTCACTGAGCTGCCATCCTGTGCTATTACAAAAGTGCTGTTCAAAAAGGCTCCTATCATAAAACCCAACGACACCACTCACTCCCATTTCACGCCAACCTGTCCGCCATTTCACGCCAACCTGTCCGCCATTTAACGTCAACATGCCAGCCATTTCACGCCAACCTGTCCGACATTTCACGTCAACCTGTTCCGAAATCAGAACCAGTCTTGTTCCCGTGACCAGCTAACGCACCATCCACTAAGCTAGATCACTCACCACTTAAACTTGTTCTCTCTGTCTTTGGGTGGTGGGGGTAGCCTAATGGTTTAAGGGTTCGCTCGCCATCAGGCCCGATTCCCCACATGGGCACAATGTGTCAAGCTAATTTCTGGTGTCCCCCGGGGTCAAAACCACACTCACTCACTCACTCTTTATGTGCAGCCAACCAGAAAGAGATGATACATCATTCACCATCCAGGATGACGAGGATCCGGAAGCCGACGAACCGGACGGGAACCTGGTGAGTACATGCGTCTTCATATACTCATAGTCATATATAAAGCAACTAGGTCTTTCAGTCATTTTTCAAGAACATGTATATATTTCATGCGGCTCTGACTGTTTGGAATGTTCCACTTTGGAAATCAGTACCTGATTTTTCGGGACTTAAAGTATACCGGTAAAAACGACAAACACGAAACTTTCTTGCAGAGAAACAGTCACCGTTCATCGTCGAGTCATTTAAAACTCCCTCTACACAATGTTCCTTCATTTATAGCTGGGGCCGAGGGGGTACCCTAATGGTTAAAGCGTTGGCTCGTCACGCCGAAGACCCGGGTTCGAATCCCCACATGGGCACAATGTGTGAAGCCCATTTCTGGTGTCCCCCACCGTGATGTTGCTGGAATATTGCTAAAAGCTGCGTAAAACCAAACTCAGTCAGTCATTTATAGCTAACCGTATATTATGAGTGTTTAAGTCATTTCTGAAGACTGGGTTTATGATCGCTGTTGGGGCGTGATTATATTCGTTTTTATATTGTTTTTTCGGGCTTATGTTGGGGTCGTTTTATTCCATTTTATTTTATTTTCAGTTCGCTTGGTTTATTTGGTTTTACTTCTTTTTTTAAATTATTTTTTTTTAAATTATTATTATTTATTTGTTTTTATTAAATCATTCCTTACCTTGGGGGCTCTGTGTAAGAATATAGGTCCCATACATCTGCGTTTGTGGTAAAGGGCGAATTCATGTATCGGTTCGGTGACTTTGCTGATTGTGTGCCTGCCTACCGCGGCCCACTATATCAATCACTCGTCCACAATGTGCGAAATAGCTTCCAAAGTTTGCTAGACAATCCGGCTAGCTGTGCTTGAAAGCTACTAGACCACACAGACCGCCTCCGTGGTGTAGTGGTTAGAGCTTCCGCCCGGAGAGCGAAAGGTCGCGGGTTCGATCCCCGACCGCGTCAAAACCAAAAGGACGTTAAAATATGGTACTTGTTGGTCCCTGCCTGGCGCTCTGCGTTAATGGGTACATTAAGGACTGGTCGACTCGGAGTCAGTATAATGAGTGGGGTATTTTTGCCTCACTGCGGCATGGTATCTCAATGGGCTAGCGCTATAAAACCAGCTTAAGTCTGGGCTAGTACAAGCAGGCGCACATACACATACACGTCGTCATATGAGCGAAATATTCTCAAGCACGACGTTAAACCCAATTTCACCTCACCTCACTAGACCACACAAAATTTCACTAACCCGCAGTATGAACGTAGAAACTATGCAAAAGATTACAAAAATAGATGAGAATAAGATATTGTCGGCATGACATGGGTTTCATCTTAAGCTGCTAATATGATGAACATCTTATCAGGTCATAACCTTGCATGATTTAAAAGTGTATTAACTTAACAAGTCAGAAAGAGTGATATATTTACAAAATGACACCATGAAAAAGTGACCATAAATATTTACTGGCCCGACTGGCGTTTTACTAGCCACTGGCCCGCTGGCCAGTGGCTATTTCGCTTACTGCTTTTCCACACTCGTTTATGTACACGCTAACGTCTCATCTGGAATACGTGAAATGCGGTGCCAAACAACAAACAAATGGAAAGAAACAGACAAAGGTATCAATCATTTCTAATCAGACTTTTCTAATTGTAGGTTACCAAAGCTGGGCCAGTAAACGAGTTTGGAGTTCGGAGGACCACCGTCCAGAATATGCTTGACCTAGCTCTCGTTGCTGCCAACATTTCCCAGCTGAGGATTATTCTGACTGTAGGCCCAGGCTATCTGGACTTTTACTACTTAATGCTGTCGTGCGTGTGTCTCTCGCTTGGTTGTCAGGTGCTGTTTGCCCTCATTATCTTAATTGTCAAGATCCGGGAAAATGAAATGGATTCAGTGTCACGTGACCCGGAAGTACAAACGGAATCGATACGACAGACACGAGACAGAGTGGCTGACAGATTGAATTACCTATCAATGGCACTAGTTTTGTTTGTGCTTCTGTTAAATATGGTTATCAGTGGGTTCGTCACTGTGAGAAAGAATTCACCTGCGGACAAAATTATTGAAGGTTTTACCGCTGGTTTGTACTGATATGTTGATCAAACTGTACGCTTGAAATGGAACAATTCAACAATTTCAACAATCCGATTGATTGTCAATAACATATATTTGAATGATAAAAGTCAATATCACCTAATAGAGGAAGAAGTTGTCAAAGAACTGTTATTTAATTCCCATCATATTATATATGAGTAATTTGATTATTAATATTTACAGATTGGAAGACTGATGTATATATAAATTTTGTGACGGTACTGGTGGTAGTAGTAGTAGTAGTAGTAGTAGTAGTACTTGTTGTAGCTCTAGTAGTTGCTGTTTGGATGTTTGTTTTTTTAACGGTGCGAGAAGCAATAATCCAGCTATATGGCGGCGGTCTGTAAATAATCGGTGGAAGAAGAACATAAACTTAATTTTATATTTATGGACACACACACACACACACACACACACACACACACACACACACACCTTCAGTGAACAAACTCTCTTATAAATGGATTCCCCTCTACTTCAGTGGACACCACCTCCCCTCAGTGAACACCCCCTACTTCAGTGGACACCACCTCCCCTCAGTGAACACCCCCTCCTTTCAGTAGAGACCACCTTCCATCAGCGAACACCCCCTCCTTTCAGTAGACACCACCTCCCATCAGTGAACACCCCTTCCTTTCAGTAGACACCACCTCCAATCAGTGAACACCCCTTCCTTTCAGTAGACACCACCTCCCCTCAGTGAACACCCCCTACTTCAGTGGACACCACCTCCCCTCAGTGAACACCCCCTCCTTTCAGTAGACACCACCTCCCATCAGTGAACACTCTTGCAGTGAGTGTCTGAGGTTAGTTTTACGCCGCACTCTGCAATATTCCAGCAGCGGTCTGTTAAGACCAGACAATCTAGTGATCGACATCATGAGCATCAATGTACGCAACTGGGATACGATGACATGTGTCAACTAAGTCAGCGAGCCTGACCACCCGATCCCGTTAGTCGACTCTTACGACAAGCATGGGTTACTACACATTAATTCTAACCCGGATCTTCGAGGGTGCCTTCTTGCAGGTTAGGAGCGAGGTGTGACGAATGGAACGAAAGATGAGAATTGTCTAACGAGTGGCTGTCTCACAAATATAACTACAAGAAGCGGTAGTAAAATACCATCTGTAATTAATGTGTTACACAAAGGACGAAATTGGCATCAGGACGAAAGCCAAGTGCGTGGTCACAGAGTGTCATAGTCATCCCCAGTGCTAGGAACATTACATACTATTGATATTTTCTCATGACATTCGCATCGTGTAGCACAGAAGAATACTGATTTTATCTTAATATCAGGCAGTGTGGTGTAATTGTTTATTTTGATCAACACATCATCTCTTTCATTTCAATTGCAATATAGTCAATGCCAATGTCTCTACAAAAACAGGAATTCTAAAAAGTTATAAGAAATTAGGGACCGTTCATAATTTATGGGGTGGGTGGGGGGTGCTTGATGATTTTTATGGAGAAGCAAAGCGAACGACACTCCCACCCCCACCTACATGTCGCACAAAATCAATGACACCTTCCCCCGTCTTTCCTTCTATTTTAGCATATATATTTTTTTATTTTTATGTGCAATATTGATGACCCACCCTCCCTTCCTCCAGGGGAGGGTTGGTAAAATGGGTAAACCCATCATCATCCCCAACCCCGAACCTTAGCCATGAATTACGAACGGCTCCTTATTTCAAATTCCAAGATGAGGTGCAAAAATTCTGCGTCACAGCATCCCATGTTCTATTCAAGTAGGGATGGGGCATACATTTGAACAAGGTATCTATTACTACAGTCTAAAGGAGAGAGATTTCTAACAATACTATGCATTCACAGTTCAGCATATTCAGTTATGAAGGGGCTCAAAGCAATCAGTACCAATTGAAAACAAAGCAAAATGCCGTATGAATACACATTGACTAGGAAACAAATCCAGGTTTCAAATCGCCCGCCATCTTGGCCGGCTTCGCGTCCACGATCTTCAACAATCAGTGCCACGCCGCAGCAGGCCGCCTCCCTGGCTGACGCTATCCCCACCCCCCGGGATCACCCCGTGTCATGCCCGGCTCCACAATACAGTATTTATAACACCTCGGGCTTTGTCCCAACCTTGGTCTTGTAAAACCTTCACGTCTGCTTGCCGGCAAACACGCATTGTTCTTCGCCATGTCAGCGCCAGGCCTGGGATGTCAGTGACTCGGGGATTACATTCTAATGACAGGATGATAGCAAATCTGCTTCATTTCGTCACATTGTTGTATACAGATAGGTTTCTGGCTCTTTGTTTTTTGTTCAGAAGGAAAGAGTGAGGTGTCATTCACACCTGCAAGCCTATTCTTATTAATTAATCCTTCCGGTGCTCACCTGTTTGAGGTGCCGTTTTACTATTTATTCCCAATTGTATGTCAATATATTATACGTACTGATCTAATAAATTCGATTGTTAGATATTATAAAATATTTCATCATATCACTAGTAACAATATAACCTGTGTAGATTTAGGTGTCACAAAATCGAAGTACTGATATAAAAGATGATTGACTGAGTTTGGTTTTACGCCGCTTTTAGCAATATTCCAGAAATGGGCTTCACACATTGTACCCATGTGGGGATTCGAACCCGGGTCTTCGGCGTGACGAGACAACGCATTAACCACTAGGCTACCCCAGCGTCCCGATATAATAGATGAACATAACATTAATATAAACGATAACAAATACGATTTTTCATTATCAAAAACTAAATTTGAAAATCACAAATTCCAAATGTATTATTGTTATGAATAAAATGAAATTATTAAAATTATCTTCATATTGTGTTATTGTGTTATTAAGTATAATACGTCATAATGAAAGTAAGTCTTCACACGACTTGTTTGCAACCTATAAATTGAGTCTGAAATTTCAAGCAATCGTTTTATTTATGATAAGTAATCAACTTCATTTTATGATATCTCACAGTGGAATTTGTGATATCAGTAATCACAGAGTGATATCAAAACTGGCTTGTAAGAGTTCACTGACGGATCGGGTGGTCAGGCTCTTTGACTTCGAACGATGCTCATGATGCAGGTCAGTCAATGGATTGTCTGGTTCAGATTCGCTTATTTACAGATAGCTGCAATATTGCTGAGTGCATCGCACCCGCACACACACACGCACACACACACCATCTATGGAGATGGAAGGTTCTTGAAGACACCCATCTCGTTTTACTAGCTGCTGACATGATGCCATACATACACACATACTAATATTTGTCTAGTGCCAATATCCAGCTCAGCTGCTTAAAGGTGCTTTGTTTTCCCTCGATCATTGGATGTTAATCTCAACGGTACATCGTATTTTCAATCTCAACTCCCTGGGGATCCTACAACTCTTGCAGCCATTAAGCGCACCAAGTTAATGTGTCTTTACCATGCCACTGGTCTCCTTCAGCTGAACAGAATGTGAACGAGGCCAACAACTACCTCCACAAAAACACATCAAACAAGCAACAAATGCTTTTTGAATATATAAAAACCCAAACCGGTATAATGAGTGGATAGAAGACCCACCGAATTGAAAGAAAATTGAATGACCATACAATGATTATAATGAAATACGCTGACGGTGTGTCTCCTATTATTGAAATAAGCTTATGTATATGTGTATGTATGAATATTGATTGTAAATGGTGTATGGTTAACCAGACATTTATAAAAATATATTTTTTGTCAAAATGATTATTTGCAGATTTCTATTGATTATATATCTTGTGTTTATGCATTTATTCTTTGCACCTGGAGTAGTATATTGGATAGTAGTACGTATTACCATATCATGAGTGGAGTAAATAAAACAACCTGAAGTAAATATACAATTAGAAACATATTTTCTGTTCTGCTTTGATGCAACCGTACACAAGAGCAAAACATGTTTTGTTTCTTTCATTGTTTAAGTCAGGACGGCGAATACCGCGAGTGTACAGTTATTACACCCGATAATAAGTCGCCAAGAAGGAGGTGAGGTGAAATTGGGGTTAACGTCGTGCTTGAGAATATTTCGCTCATATGACGACGTGCATGCGTGTGTATGTGTATGTGCGACTGCTTGTACTAGCCCAGACTGAAGCTGGTTTTATAGTGCTAGCCCACTGAGATACCATGCCGCAGTGAAGCATGAATACCCCACTCAGACACATTATACTGACTCCGAGCCGACCAGTCCTTGTTGTACCCATTAATGCCGAGTGCCAGGCAGGAACCAACAAGTACCATATTGTAACCCATGCTTGTCGTAAGAGGTGACTAACGGGATCGGGTGGTCAGGCCCGCTGACTTGGTTGAAACATGTCATCGGTTCCCAATTGCGTAGATCGATGCTCATGCTGTCACTGGATTGTCTGGTCTAGACTCGATTATTCACTGACCGCCACTATATAGATGTAATATTGCTGGGTGCGGCGTAAAATTAGCGAGTGAGAGAACCGTCTGAAATGTTTTAACTTGGTTTTGATCAGACACTCAATCACCCAACGCTCAACTAAAAAACAGAACAGAACAGAAGTTTATTCTCATAAAAATCACACAAAATGATATAGAGAACATACAGTGAGATTTAATAAAGACACAAACATTCTTGTACAAATTTTGCTAATTTTAGTATAATTGGATTATAATTGGCACAGTTCATGATGCATAAGATGGACAAATTTGGCAACAGCTGGATTTGAGTAGAAAAATTGACGTAGATAGGTTTGACGGTGAGAAGAGAGTGATGGACAGCGAAGTAGAAAGTGGAATTCGTCACAGACATCTAAATTACATAATGTACAGCTTCTATACCCTTAATACATATATATCCATTTATCCAACTTCAATTGGAAATCTGTGATTACATAGGCGGATCCACAAGGGATGGTGCAGGGGTGCGCACCCCGCCCCCACCCCACCCCTTTTGCCCTGAAAGTTTATTACATGACCATTGAAACTAGGGTGAAAATGAAATGTGCACCCTCCTTTTCTCAACAGTGTGCACACCCCATTTCTCAATGTATATCAGTTTGATAGAAACAATAAATTGAAAGGGAGCCTCAGTAAGATTGGAGGTAAAGAACCTGGACCCT